TGCTTATTTAGCTGGGGACTGTCCAGTGATTAGCCCAGTCACCAGTCCCCACGGGGAGGTTCAGGCCCTGGGCCTTCAGGGTCCCCAGTCCCTTGGAAGAAGTGGCCCCTCTCCCAGGAGCCCTGGGGAGGCTCCTCCCTTCACCAGCGGGCCGGGCCCTCAGCCTGTCCCTCCCCCCCCCAACTCAGATGTTCGAGCTGGGCGAGTGTGTGACCGGCACCATCGGCCCCACCCACAACTTCGAGCCGCCGCACTACGATGGCATTGAGTGTCTCGCCATCCAGGGAGACGTCCTGTTCAGTGGTTCCCGCGACAACGGCATCAAGAAGTGGGACCTGGAGCAGCAGGAGCTCATCCAGGTGCGGGGGGAGGGGCACAGCTCCCCAGGGTCTGGGCTCCCCCCAGGGCGGCCGGCTTTCCCAGCTGCCCCTGACTTTGGGGAGCTTGCGTCAGCCTGACCCCTCTGGGGGCAGAAGGATCCGCCCTGGGCCCCCAGAGCCCCCAGCCCATGTGACCCGTGACGCTTCCCTGCGCGACTGTCCAGCCACCAGCAAGAGGGGCCCCAGGCCAGTCCCCTCCCACCTCACCGCCCGCTCCTCCTGCAGCAAATCCCCAACGCACACAAGGACTGGGTGTGCGCCCTGGCCTTCGTCCCGGGCCGCCCCATGCTGCTGAGCGCCTGCCGAGCCGGCGTCATCAAGGTCTGGAACGTGGACAACTTCACGCCCATCGGTGAGATCAAGGGCCACGACAGCCCCATCAACGCCATCTGCACCAACGCCAAGCACATCTTCACGGCCTCCAGGTGGGTGCCGCGCAGACGGGCCGCCTCTGCTCCCCTGCCCCCACCGCCCGCTTCCTGGCGTGGGCAGGGAGCCGGCAGGCTCAGGGCCCTGCCGCTGCCCCCGCGCCCCCTCTTTCTGTACCCAGCCCGTGCCAGCCTTCACCGCGTGCCCACCAGTGCCAGGCACTGCAGTGGGCAGGGGCGCGGGGAGCTGCTGGGCCCCCGGCTGGACTTAAGCCGCCTGTCGGCCCGAGCAGCAGTCTCTGCGGTATCTCAGGCCGCACCTGCTAGCCAGGCCCTGCCCCCACCCCGCCAGCCCCAACTCTGGGCCCTGTGGTCATCGAGCACCGGGCCCTCGGCCCCATGGGCGCTGCTCAGCCTCCTCATCTCTCGTTCCCACTGTGCCCCTCCCCCCTCCCGTGTCCACCGGCCCCTCCTCTCTCCTCTCTTCCCCCCCACAGTGACTGCCGGGTAAAGCTGTGGAATTACGTCCCTGGACTCACCCCCTGCCTTCCTCGCCGAGTCCTGGCCATAAAGGGCCGCGCCACCACCCTGCCCTGACCCCCCACCCTGTCTCTCTCTCTCTCTCCCCTCTCTCCTCCCCCCTCTCCCCCCACTTCGATCTGAGCTGCTTCTTCACGGTACGAGATCCTTTTTCCCCCCTTCCTGCTCGCCCTTTCTCGCCTGCCTGGCCCAGAGACGCGGCCCCGCCCCCGCCCCCTTCCAAGCATGAGCAGGGGGAGCGCCCCCCCCGAGAGGGGTGCCAGGTGCTGAGCAGGGGGGAGCATCCAGACCCCAACCAAACAAAGCCACAGCCACAGAGGAAGCCCCGAGGTCCCTCGGGGCCAGGGATGGGCCTGACCCCTGCCCTGCACGCCCAGCCTGCAGCCCACCTGCCTGAGCAGTGCCTGCCCCACGGCCCAGCCACGCTTGGGGAGCCCGGGGATCCTGCCTGCCACCCCTCGTGGGCTCACCGGCCCCTCTCTGTCCTCCCCACAGTGACCTGACGGTGAAGTTCTGGAGCGTGCGGAGGGTGCCCGGAGTCGCATCCTAGGAGCGAGGTCCGAGGGATGCCCGACCCTCGGCCCCAGCCGCCCGGCCACCGTGGAGGGGAAGCTGTGGCTGGGGGCGGAGGCTGCGGCCCCTCCCACCCTGCTTGCTCTTGGCCTTCCCACCGAGCACTGCCCCTCAGAGAGAGGTTGGGAGACTGAGCCACGCAGCCAAGGGGCGTCATCCCTCTTCCTCCCTCTTCCACCGGGTGGTCTCCGCTGAGCCTCCGGGCCTTTCCCCGGGGCTCAGAGGGGAACTGAAGCAGCACAGCCCAGCCCCGTGGCGCCCCCACCACGAGCGGGCCTCCCCTGTGTCCCAGCCCGGCCTCCGAGCCACTGCACCTGCCTCTGAGCCGAGTCCTCAGGTAACCCCGGGAGCCAGGTGCAGGCAGCTGGCCCTGTACCCTGGGGGCCCCAGCAGTGGCTCAGGGGCCTCTCCCAGGGGGCCAGGGTGGAGCTGCTTGGGGAGATGGTCAGAAATACTCCAGCCGTTTAATTTATTATGTTTTTGTTTTTGTTTTTTGCTGTTGCCTCCTGGAAACTGACTTGAAGTTTCTTCCCACGTGTACTCTCCCTCCTCTCTTGGGGGGTTGGGGCCAGGAACCCCCAGGGCCACTGCCTCTGTGTGCTGCGCACAGGAGGGGAGTGCCCCCTCCCACTCTGCAGCTTGGGCCTGTCCCCGCCCCTGCCCCCGGGGACCCTCCAGGCCGCCCAGCGCTACAGTGCCTTCCCCCGTCCTGGGGCCTGGCACCCGTGCCGGGCAGCCTCACACCAGCCACGCCCGCAGCGCCACACGTGTCTTCTACCCCAGGGGCTCGTGCCCACCACCCCCAGAAAGGCAGGGCCTGCGAGGTCACACAGAGAGCAGCTCAGTGGACAGCCCCCCGGCAAGTTGGGAGCTGAGGGTCCCTGGGCTCCCCACCCAGCCCCGGGGGCTCCCCCCATCTCGGGGCTCCCCACGCTTCTTCCACCCTGGTTTTGTCAGCAGCCGCGCTTTCTAGCCTTAACACCGGCCTGGGCGTGGGCCCCCCTCAGTGAGCTGCTTCCTCCTTCCTCTGGGACTGAGGCCTCCCGGCGCCCCCTGTTGGGGCAACTGTGGATTTGCAGGAACGCTCCCCAGGCCCCCTCCCTGCCCACACCGGCCGTGTGGCGGTCACCGGCCCTGGGCTCCGTCCCTAGGGCACGGTGACTTTGGGACTGCTGAGCTGGGGCCAGGGTGGCTGCCGTGGCCCAGGGAAGGCTGGGGGGCCTGTCCTCCTCCCACGGCTGCTCGCGCGTGGCCCTCAGGGACGTGCTGCTGGACTCTGGCTGTGCCGACCTGTGAGGAGCACCTGAACCCGGCCCTGGGCACCTGGACAGCCCCCGGCAAGGCCTTCCTCTGCCCGTCCCCCGGCGCCGGGCCCTCAGCGCTCAGAAGTGGCCGCAAGTCTCTTCCCACCCACGTCCGCCCCTCCCCAGCCACCTGCCGCAGAAACTTACCGCCCGTAGGGAAGACGCCTCGCACGGCTGTTGACGTACACGCTGCCGGAGCTGGGAGACCCACACCGGGCTGCCCGTGCCCGGGTGCTCTTCAGCCCCAGGAGAGGTGCTGGGCGCCACGCTGTGTCCTGCTGTTTCTGCTGGGTCAGCTACCTCATGCGGGGCCGGCTCTGCTGTCCTGGAGAGCGTCACTGACTTACGTCCCCGGGAGGCCTGGGCCGCTCCGAGCTGTGCTCCACGGGCGCCGTCCCTGCCGCTCTCTCAGGGAGCCCGAGGCCCAGGGCCGGGGCAGGCCCCAGCTCCGCTCAGCGCACAAGACCCCATGTGTCGGAAGCACAGTATGGTTGCCATGGAGCACAACGGGCCCCGGCCGGAGTTAGACCGCAGGGGCCCAGCTCATCCTGATCCTGGGACCAATCCCGTTACTTCCTGTCCCTCCGTGCCCGTCCCTAAGACTTGAGACCAAGCTGCATGTGTGTGCCGGGGGCCCCGTGCAGACCCTGGATCTTCACACAGCTGGGCACAGCCGGGGTCCCTACCCTATTGAGCCTGAAGAGCTTGGACCCCAGAGTGCCCACGTCTGGGGCCGAGACCCCGTCCACACCTTTGAAGCTGACTGCAGCCTCCTGGGGCGGAAGGTGGCTCCCATCCCCGTGGCCGTCGGGACCAGGCCCTGGTCTCGGTGTGAACCAGTTCAGTGTTTGCTTTCCTGTGAGTGACTGACCCCTCCCAGGCTCCACCGGAGCACCTCCGGCGCCTGCCGGGGGCAATCGGCCAGGCGGAGGCCGGTGCACCTGCGGCCCGGCTGCAGCTCGGGAAATGCCCGGTCCTCGGTGATGGCCCTGCTGCCCGCCCCTGGGCTGTGTGGTGGGCGCAGGGCACTTAAGAGCACAGCCGCTGTGGGGAGGGAGGACGCTGGGTCGCTGGGACCCCTCGTGCCTCCTGGTGTGGGGGCTGCGGGCAGCAGCTGCCTGCTGTGAGGTCGGCGCCCAGCCCCCCGCCAACCCTGCCGGGCTCCCCCGATGTCATCTGGGGCCGGGTCCGCCCTGCAGGAGTGATGAGCGCCTTCCCGCTGCAGGGCCCAGACCTGTGGCTTCTGTCCCTTTGCCATCGCGGACAGGGAAGCATTTGCTGCTTCCCCTGCTGGGCCAAGGCCTCCTCAGGCCTTCCAGGGCCTGGGCCGCCCCTGCTGGCTCCCTGACCCTCCGCTGCCCTCGTAAGCGCAAGGACAGAATCTGCGGGGAGGTTCTGGGTCATCATCTGGCCCCTGCCCATCCCCAGCCCCCTCCTCGCCTGACTCTGTCCTTTGAAGCTGTGCCCCCAGGGCTGAGCAGGGAAGCAGGGAGTGGGAGCGGAGCGCCGGGGTGACGGGTGACGCGAGCGGGGCCCTCCCGGCTCGCTGTCCTCCCGCAGTGGCGAGCACAAGTGTGTGTGTGTGTACCTCTGCCGCCGGCTGTACATAGTGTATGGAAGCGATGGAAGCCGCCTGCTGTACGTTTCCGTTCCTGGGTGGGATGTGTGTGTTCTAAGACGCTGTCATAAATAAAACCCGACTGACCATCGCCTGTGGAGCTGTGGCCCTGAGGGCTGCTGGGAGGCAGGAGAAGGTTCTGGGCTCGGAGTTTGGGGCGCACCCAGTTAGGAAACAGCTTCGGGAGGGCTGCATCCTCCACCAGACCCCGCCGGCTGCCTTCGGGGCAGGTGTGGTCGCTGCAAGGGCAAGGCCGCCACGTCCGACACCTGCTGTGGCCCAGGTGCTGTCGAGGGCGCATTTCCTTCCATCTCCCCCAGCCTCCGTGGAAGCGAGACAGGTCTCAGGGTGGGAGTGACTAAGCCAGGCTCACGGCTTCTAAGGGCACAGCCAGCCCTGCCCCAGGCGGCAGCACGCTGTGCCTGCCGTGGACCGTACCCACTGCCCTCCCTTGCCTCTTAACAAGAGAAGACAAAGATAGCAATGGCTTGGAAGGAGACGGCTCTACTCCGGTCTTGGGCTTGTGTCCTTAAGTCCTTGGAAAACCGCATCCCTTGCAGATACCCATGAGTCACTCCATCAACTCCAGGGGATTCTGCCCGGTGGGGGGTGCGTGTGGGGGTGGGGTGGGACAGGACTCCCCTCCTCATCACCGGCCGCCTTGCTATCAGGGCGATGAGCTCTGTTTCCCAAATACAAACCCAAGTAGTTTCCTCAAGCTGCACAGGTCCCTGCTACCTGCCCAGCCCGCGGCTGGGACCAGAGCCAGCCAGTGAGTTCCTGGAGCCTGCAGGAGGCAGCGGTCATCGTGGGGGTGGGGGTGGGGGTGCCCCTCGCAGGGAAACCCTGGCCAGTTAGGATCAAGCAGATCTATGAGAACAGGTCTTTAATGCTACCGACCTGCTTGTTGCAAAGCGAGACCGCCCCTGGGGTGCAGTGCAGGGGTAGGAGCGTGTTGCCCAGTGCTTGGGGGGGTGTCTGTTCACCTCCATCTGCACAGGTTCAGCAGGTAAGGCCCCCACGGGGGGCGGGCGCTGGCTGACCTGGCAGCAGGCTGAGAGGAGCCACACGTGTGGCCTTCAACACCACACTGAGCTTGTCTGCAAGGGTGGCTGGGGGACAGTGCCACGAGGACTGTGGCCACCCCTGAGAGGGGGTACACGGAGGCAGAGAGGGCCAGTGAGGCGGGAGCTCCGTGTGCCCCCAGGGTGTGGGGGCAGGTGATGGAGCCCTGTGGGAGCTTGCTTATTAGGACATGGGGCTACTGTTCTGTGTTCTCCCTAGGACAAGGTGGGCTCAAGGTCAGGGGTCACTGGTGACACCCTGGGTGGGGGAGCGGGGTGGTGAGGGGCTGTGACCCTGGCACCCAAGAGGCACCCGGACTGCCAGGCCAACCTGGGTAAGAGTGGCTGCAGCGGGAGATGGCAGGTGCTGCCCCCGCCCTCCTCCCAGCACCAGGGCGGGAGCCTGGGGCTCGCCAAAGGAGCAGTGGCCAAGCTTCGGGTGTCCGGCCCGAGTGTTGTCCCTGGGGCAGAGGTCTGGGCAGCACCGAGGGGCAGACACTGGTGTTCTCACAGAGCAGCCCTGTTGCTGGGACTCGGACCCTCTGGTGTCCCAGATACTGGGCAGGGGGCTCACTAATAGCCCACCCCTTATCACTTTGCTGCTTGAACTAACCCGAGCGGAGCTGCTGTCCATCAAGGGCACGGCTGGGCACAGCGAGCCCAAGACACCTGCCTACCCCAGCCTCCCACTGCGGTTCAGGGTGGTTTCAAGAACAAGTGCTTGCCCTGGCCTTGGAACGCTTGGCTGCACGGGAGAAGGGAGCAGGGGCAGAGCTGGGAGCGGCCCAGATGTCTCCGCAGAGAAGGCGGCTTTACCCGCTACACCGAGAACGAGAGACGAGCCGCCTGCTTCACCGGGGTGCGCGCTTTCTCCTTTATTCACAGCCTGCGGCAGGGACAGTCCCGAGCAGGGCTCACAGGCAGCTCCTGCGGGCCCGCCGCCTGCAGAAACAGGTCACGGAGGCCTTGGCCAGCGCCTGCTGCCGGTGGGTTTCCAGGACGTAGAGGGTCTGCATGGTGAGGCAGCTGACCGTGGGGTCGGGGTCTTTCCGCATGGACCTCAGGGCTGTAACAGACACTCCGTGGAGCTCTGAACGGCCCGAGGCTGCTGGGCCAGCCGGAGGCCTTTGCAAGTCCCGCCCAAGTCCCGCCGCATCCCTCCCGGCTCCCGGGGGCCTCTCCACCCTCCCTCCCTGGCTCTGCCCTCCTCTTGCCATAGAACAACCAGCAGCGAAGGCCTCGGCCTCCCGAGACAGTTGCCTGGGACATAGCGGGTCAGGGTGTCCGAGAGAGGGGACAGGGATAAGGAAGCGGTGGCCAGCGGTGCAGAGGCATGGCCCCTGAGGGGCCTGGGGGGCACCAGGAGAGGGGGCGCCCCCGTGTCTCCCACAAAGAGTCCAAGGAACGGCCCTGGCTCAGGCTCAGGTTCAAGGTGAGCGAAGGAACACAGTGGAGGGGGGGCAGGAGGGCTCTAACCGTTGCCTGGGAGACTGATCTCCCTCCTCAGTCTGTGAACCCCTCTGCCCGCCCCCCGCATCCCAGAGCCAGGCAAGGGGTAGGCGACCAGGTGCCACTTACCTGTGTAGGCTTCCTCAACTCCCTCCTCCTCTTCCATGCCTAGGGTTTGCATAATCTGGCCTGGGGGGGGGCACATACGAGGGAGCCTCAGGGGACCTCGCACTCATCGCCCCTCCCTTTGCCTGTGTGTCCCCGCCATGGCCATCACGTCCAAATGACTCCCTCTGCCTCCTGCAGGGAGGGCTGAGAGCAGGGGCAGAGCCCTGGGGGGACAGGAGGCCGCCCCCCCTCCGCCACCTGCCCTGCCCCCACCCCTGGCAGCACCCACCCCCGCCCACCCCGACCCTTGCTGGCCTGGCCTGGGACATGGCCCATTCTCCTGCTGGAGGTCACCCAGCCTCAGCAGGGCAGGGGGAGTGGCCGGAGACAGCCCACCCTGTAGTGCCCTCAAGTTCAGGGACCCCGCCTGGAGGTCCCCATGGCCGTACCTGCAAACCACACGGCTACCTGGCGGATAGGGGCCTGCGAGCTCTTGAAGAGAGCCACGCTCTGTCTCAGGAACCACAGGGCCTTGCTGGCCTGCTGCTGCAGCTGCGAGACAAAGACCCGCTGAGCCCAGGGCCCGGGCGCAGCCGAGCCAGCCTCTCGCCGTGGGAACGCGCAAACCTCCCCCCACCCGACCCCAGCTCCCCAGATCTTACTCCGTCCACGGAGCCAGGCGGGGGCCACTCCCCCAGCCCCGACCCAGTGCGGCCTGGAGCTCGAGCACGCCCACCCCACCCCTCGGCCCACGCGGGTTCCCTGCCCCGCTGCTCTTCACAGTGGGGTGACCCCGCGGTTCCCACGCAGCGTAGGCACATCCTGGTCTTGTGCTCCAGGCCACAAAACAGCTGCTCCTCTCCCCTTCCTACAGCATGGCGGGCAAGCACGTGTGGTCGGAGCCTCCTTCCCGCTCAGCCCTCGCCGGGCTTCCTCCCTGCCCTCCGGGCGTCTCCTTTCTCAGTCTAAGTTCTCACCACCCACCACCGCACGCCCCTACTTTTCCTTTTTTTTTTTCTTTTTTTTTTTTTTTTTGTCAGCACGACTCTTCTTCAAATAAAAATCCTAACCGGGGAGCCAGTCTCCCAACCCACGGGCGTGGGGCTGCTCCGGGTGAGCCCACCTGCTCTTCTGTCCCAGCTTTCACGGTCACCCGCGGCACCTCGGGGTTTGCACCACATCCACTTCCCACCACGCCGCGCGGGGTCCCCAGTGGCTCCCAGGGTCCCACTCCTTGGGCATGTCCCGTCCGGATCCTGCCAGGCACGCGGCCACTGACTGCCTCCCGAAACCGTGTGCTTCCTGGGGGCCGTGGCCCTGCCCCCGGTTCTCCCTCCACTGTGCACCTGAGTGCTCTTTCCCAGCCTCCTCTGTGGGACCCCTGGAGATGGCGCTTCCCAGGGTCCCGAGGTCGACTCCCACTCCATTTCTGCAGCGGCCACGTGGCTGCCCCCACAGCACAGCCCTGCCCCCAGGCTGCCGTGACACACGTCCGACTTCCCAGGAGACAGAGCCACGTGGAGGGAGGCCTCACGGACTGGACAAACTCAACGCGCACAAAGCCCAGCCCCGTCTTCTCTCCACACTGCCTCTCCCCCAGTCCTGCTCCTGGCGGCACCCAGGCCCCCACGCCCTGAGTGGCTGATCCCTACTTGCTCCTGTCGAGACAGTGCACTGGACCGGCCTGCAGGCTCCCCCGGGTGGGCCGCACAAAGTCGAACACTGCAAATTACTTTCAACAGAAATCTGGGGAATGTCACCTCAGATGGGGACCTCCTGCATCTGCGAGCAGTCTGACCCTGCTTCCTCCCCCGGGGAAATCACCCTGGCCACCACGGAGAGAGCCGTGCACCTGGCACGTGTCTTCCATCGTCACGATGGTCAGAGAGGGCATGCTCCTTTGCAAGGTCCCAGTGCCTGTCCATGCGAACCAAACCCCGCATGGAGCTGGTGCCTGCAACGCGACTGTGTCTTCTGTAAGAGTGCCTTCTCCCAGCTCGCGTGCGTGCTGGATTTTCCCAGAAACGCGCCCGGGACATGAATCGGAGACAAGGCTTCTTTTTGTTCAGTGGAGCGCCAGAAAGTGCTCGTGGCTTTGGAAGTCACAGCCAAGGGCAGCACCTCCTGCAGGGTTTGGGTCCCCGGGCGACCACACTTGTAGGTTTCTGCATCGGTGGCAGATCCGGTCGCGGCGATGCGGTGTGTGTGTGGGGGGGGACGAGGGGGATGTGACCACTGGGCGACGTCGCTCAGGGCCCAGCACTCACACGCACTGTCTCCTACGTTGCGTGCAGGGTGAGGGCATCCTATGCGTTTTGGGATTATGTGCAGGTGGGTGGCAGCTACTGGGGGACCTCGCCCAGCTCCAACCCCGGGCGCCTGTGATGACGCCACGGCCCGAGCTGGCCCCAGGGCCTTTGATTCCCCCTGGGTTGCCAGTCTGCTTCTCTGCCTCGCGTTGCCTGCAGGGCCTTGCAGGCCGTTGAGTCTCCTGTGCCTCCCCCTGGTCCCAAGGCCCTGGGGGCTCCCCCACAGCCCTGCACGCCCAGCCCTTCCCTTTGCCGTCTGCCCCTCCCCCAGGAAGCCCTCCTTCAACGCCCAGACGGGGCTGAGCACCCTCTTTTTCCTGCAGCTTTCTCCTTGTGCGCCTGGCAGCCCCCGTTAGGAAGCACTGGGCGGGCGGGGATGACGGCCAGGGCCACGGACGAAGCGGATGATCAGTGAGCGCCTTGGAACTGTCGCTGGCCACCATGACTGCCATAAAGCCCCACCCCCCGGGGTGCGGGGCACCCCTGCCCACGCCCAGGGGCGCTCACCAGAGCTCTGAGGATGGTAAACTCGTCCTCCTCGGCCACCAGCACTTTGAGCCTTGACCAGCCCAGCAAGGCAGCCGTGTGGTTGAGGGCGAGCCGGCAGACCTGGGGAGACAAGGAGGTGGGCGGGAGGCTTGCTGGGGCTGGTTACTGCGATCCTGCACCAAGACCCATCCCAGGGGAACAGGTCTCCCCAACACCTTGCTGCCCCAACTAGGGGGTCACTATGCTGAATCGGGGCTGGCTGTCAGGAACGCCATGGCCAAGTCCCTGGGCGGGACTGCACCCCACAGGGGTCATAACCCCGACCAACGGCTCAGGTGGCGGCCACGGCAGAGGCACCTGCGAGTGTGGCACAGTTGCCTGCTCTGTGGCATTGGGGTGGCAGCGGGGGAGCCCTGGTACAGACCGCGTCCTCCAGTTTCCCAGTTTTCCCAGGGCAGGGAAGCAGAGAGGACCTGGCGCTGGGCCAGGGGGGCTCCCAGGGCCTGTTTCGGCCGGAAGTTGCTGGCCAGCCCAGCACCTGGAGCTGGTGGGATCCCCGTGGTGGCACCCACCCCTCCTGAGACTCACCAAGGTCAGAAGCCAAGGTCAGCATCACCCATGGGCCTCAGCCCCGCGCGAGTACACAAGGCGCCTCCGGTGACAGCCGGGGACCCAGGCCCGGGCTCCAGGGCCCGGCCACTCACCTGAGCCACGTTGATGTTCACATCTCTCAGGTGCAGCACCAGGGGGATGACCAAGTTGAGGACCTGGTGCCTCAAGGGGAAGACGAGGGTCCTGCGCTTGACCTTGGCCAGGAGGCTTCTGTAGATCTCGAAGGCCGCCAAGCGCAGGTGCTCCAGCTCCTGGGAGAAAAGCCCCCTCTGTGCACCTGCGCCCTGCCCTGGGGGTGCTGTGCTCCAGGCTGCCTGGACCCGAGCCTCTGACGCCCCCGCGGTGGCCCCGCGCCCTCCCCTCTCGCTCCATCTCCCCCCCTCGGCCCCTGCCAGATGGACGGCGTCCTGGCCGGGGCCCCTCACGCTGCGGGGGCTCACCTCCTCAAAGAAGGGCGCCAGCGTGAAGGAGAGCTGGATGAGGAAGGCGGAGGAGGCCGCCCAGCTCAGGTGCTGCAGCAGCCGTCGCAGCACCAGCAGCGTCTCCATGACGATGTCCCCGTCGGAGGAGTAGCAGCAGTTGAGCACGTGGGGCTGCAGGATGCGCAGCCTCCGCTCCTGCGGGGGCAGCGGCTCGGTCACCGGGGGCCCCGCCCAGCCCCTGCCCGCCTCCTCCCCAACGCCCATCTCCCCGAGACCTGGGAGACCTGGACGCCACGTCGGGGGTCCTGGGGTGGGCTTGGCCGGCTGTTAGAAATGCCCCAGAGGAGACTTCCTGAGGGCCCCCTCCTTGGGAAGCCCCTGAGGCTTTGCTCCCTCCCATCCCACCTCCGCCCCCCCCCCCGCCGACCACGCCTCCGGGAGCAGCACCCCACCCCCACCCCCGCCCCATCTCACCGTGGTCGGGTGCTGTGCGAAGACCTCTGCCGTGTGCAGCAACACCTTCAGCGTGGCGGGCTCCTCGCTCTTGAACCAGTTCGCCAGCACGTGGGTGGTGATGTCGTCCACGGTGGCCGCCACCTCTGGGCACTGCAGCAGCTGGAAGGAGACGAGGACTGAAGGGCGGGGCTGAAGCCGCCCTCTCGGGCTCGGAATCCAGACACCTCGGCCTCCTCGTTAGCCAAGGAGGCTCCAAGGGGCTGGGAAGAGTGGGCGAGGAGGCTGGCACTCAGGTCAAGGGCAAATTCACACCCAAAGGTTCCAGACATCGCTTGCTCACTCTGCACGTCTGCTCCGGGCATTTTTCTAAAAGACGTGTTTATCTGAGAGACAGAGTTGAGAGGGAGGCAGAGACAGAGAGAATCTTCCATCTGCTGGTTCACACCCCCCACCCCCCCGAGGTGGCCACCATGGCTGGGGCTGGGTCAGGCGGAACCCAGAAGCCTGGAACTCCATCTGGGTCTCCCATGCAGGTACAGGTGCCCAAGGCCTTGGGCCATCTTCCGCTGCTCTCCCAGGAGCATTAGCAGGGAGCTGGGTCGGAAGTAGAGCAGCCGGGACTCAACTGGGGGTAGTCGTTCAGACTTTCTCCATCAATGCTTTCTTGTGTTATAGCCAGGATTCGTGGGAATCGCCTGGAACACGAGTGGAGATGTCACAGAGATGTTTCTTGCAGAATTTACTGTAGTGTGAAATCGGGACCCACGTGCGATCAGTTACAGCACATGTCTGAGGGGAGACAGCCTCTCAGTGTTAGAAGTGAGAAGTGAAGGGGCCGGCGCTGTGGCGCAGCTGGTTAAAGCCACCATCTGCAGTGCCGGCATCCCATGTGGGCGCTGGTTTGAGTCCCGGCTGCTCCACTTCTCATCCAGCTCTCTGCTGTGGCCTGGAAAAGCAGTGGAAGATGGCTCAAGTGCTTGGGCCCCTGCACCCATGTGTGAGACCTGGAGGAAGCTCCCTGCTCCTGGCTTCAGATCGGCTCAGCTCCGGCCGTTGGGGCCAACTGGGGAGTGAACCAGCAGATGGAAGGCCTCTCTCTCTCTCTCTGTCTCTCCTTCTCTCGCTGTTTAACTCTGACTTTCAAGTAAATAAATAAATCTTAAAAAAAAAAAAAAAGAAGTTAGAATTGCAAAGAGCAGGCAGTGACGTAGGAAGACGCTTGGAGACGCAGGAGACGGAACATTCGTCGAAGATGACGCCGACTGTGTGACGAGGGCGCTTCAGAAAGTTTGCGGAAAATCCAATGAAGAGCCACGTGTGTTTCGGCGCCAGCATTTTGAAATCCACGTGTGGTTTTTACGTGACACACTGCACGTGAATGGACTTCAAAAAACTTTTGCTCCAAAATAAACTCATTTAATCCTGTTTTCCATGACCCTTTTAAAGGACACACTCACACACACACTCACACTCACACACACTCATACATTCACACACTCACACACACTCACACTCACATACTCACACACACACTCACATGCACACACACTCACACACTCATGCACACACTCACACTCTCACACACTCACATTCTCACACACACACACATTCACACAATCACACACACACACTCTCACACACTCACATACTCACACACACTCACTCTCACACACACTCACTCTCACACACTCACTCCCCTCCCCATCAGTGATTCCCGCGGGGAACTGCGACCAGCAGTGGCTCTGCGTTTTTGATAAGCTCTTCCTTGTTTTCTGGATTCTCCGCACATTCGCCGACTTCCCTCGAGCCCGTCAGAAGCGCCGAGCAGAGGCCACTGTGAAAAGGCTGAGGGGCTGCAGAAGTGAGGGCGGAGGCGGGGGCTGGCACCGTGGGCAGCGGGTAAAACCATCCCGTAGGGGCACCGGTTCGAGTCCCGACTGCTCCACTTCCCATCCAGCCCCTGCTAACAGCCTGAGAAAGCAGCAGCAGACGGCCCAGGTGCTTGAGTCCTGCACCCACGTGGGAGACCAAGATGAAACCCCTGGCTTTGGCCTCGCCCAGCCCTGAACACTTGGGGAGTGAGCCAGCAGATGGGAGATCTCTCTGTAACTCTGCCTTCAAATAATTAAATAAATTAAAAAAAAAAAGCAGCATCACATGGCCACGACCCACGGCCACGAGGCAGCTGCCTCTCCCAGAGACCCTCGTGGGCGGAGGGAGTCCCTTGGGCGGTTCCGTCTCCCAGAGGAGCCCCGCCCGAGGCCCTCCTCCCCCCGCCGGGGGCGGTCACCTCGGTCAGGAACACCAGGGCCGTGAGGTGATTGACGCAGTCTGGCTCCTGGAGGAGCCTGATGATGTGGCTGAAGAGGGGGCAGTTGTGCCAGCAGTCCATGACGACCAGCGACCTGCCGCAGACAGCAGGTGCGCAGGGTGAGCCCTGGCCCGAGGACGGCCGGGCCCCCGCCAGGCCCGGGGGCCGCTCACCTGGCCAGCACAGCCACTCCGTCGTAGTGTCTTTCGGGGTTGACCAGCAGCTCCCAGCCCCCCAGCTTCCGGACGTAAGACACGTGGTCCGCGTAGCCCGAGCACCGCATCAGGGTCTTCAGGGCCTCCACGGTGGAGCTGGAGGAGAGGAGAGGGCAGACAGGAAGCGCCCGCTCCCCGGGCTCCTCCTCCTCCCTGGCTACCTGCCCGGCACCGGAACACGCTGAGAATCGGGGGACAGCCCTCAGGGGCCCCAGCTGCTGTTTTACAAATGAGGCCAGGATGGGGCATCCCGGAGGTGACCGGGGAGCCAACCAAAGGACAGGGAAGGGGGTCCGGTCTGTCTCACTCATTGGGCTGATCGCACTTGGGCGCAAGATCTCGGTGCCAGCCTCGATCCCCGGATGTAAAGGAAGGGTCCCACGAAGCCCAGGAAGGCTTCCTGGAGGAGGGCACGGGAGGGGTGCCGGGGCCCGCAAGCCAGGCGATGGTGTGGGGATGCTGGGGCAGCTCGGGTACCTCAAGGGATCCACCCATTCGGTCACGTGCTGCTGGTCCTGCATGATGTCGGCACAGTCTTCCAGCACGAGGCAGGAGATCTGCGACAGCAGCGCCGTGAACAGCGAGGAGAAGGCGGACTGCACTTCCATGCGCCGGCTGGGCTCCAGCAGGAGCTCGTGGATGGCCCTGGTGGCCTGCGGGCCGGGAGGAGCGGCATTGCCACCCCGGCCCCGCGACACCCCCGCCCAAACCCACGCGCCTCGGACAAGCACGGATCACTCGGCCTGAGAGCCAGGGGAGGGTGGGCTTTGCTCTTTCCTAAGCTCAGCCCCGGGAGGATTTGCACCCAGCTCCCTCTCGGCCTCCCGGACCAGGCCGGGCCGGGGCCAATGCCTCCCTCCGCCCCGCGGAAGGCCCAGCCCGGCTCCGAGGCCCTCGGAGCTCCAGCGGCCCTCGCCAGCCCCTGCCCCTCCGTACGATCAGCGGGGAGATGACGGTGCGGGGCCCGGGCTCCTGGCCCTTGGCCTTGCGGTATGGAACCAGCCTCTGCAGCAAGTGCTCCATGATCATCTCGTAGCCTTTGGGGAAGGACGCCAGGATCTCCCAGGGCTTGCGGACGCCTCTGCAGGGTCAGAGACCGGGCGGCGGTCACCCCGCGGGAGCCCACGCCGCGCCCGGCACACGGCACGCGAGGCTCCTTCGCCCGGCCTAATGCTCTGAGAACTGACGCAGCATCAAAACCCAGGGGCCAAGTTAAAACAGAATACCCAAGAAGAGCCAACAGTTACAAAGGCTGCAGGAAAGCGAGCCCGTGAACAAAACCCAGAGGGAATCAACAGAAAAATCATAAAACCGTGGACTTCAGCGAGCGGTGCCGACAGCAACTCGGCAAGGCAGGGACGCCTTGGACAGCACCGTCGTCCATCTCTGGCTCATTTAGAGAGCACTCCGACCCACCCACCACAGGGGACGCACGGGGAGCGGTCACCACGACAGACCACACTCTGGCCACAAAATAAACCTCCGCACATCTTGAAGAGTAGAAGTCACGTGAAGTATGTTATCTGGCTAAAATGGACTTAAATTAGAAATCAGAACAGAAAAACATATGGAAAGCCCCCACTATTTGGAAATTAAACACTTCTAAATAATTCCTGGTCTCAAAGGAAATTAAAAAAAAATGTTAACTAAGTGAAAATGTAAACAGAACATATCGGGGCCGGCGCTGTGGTGTTGAAGGTTAAGCCTCCACCTGCAGTGCCAGCTCCCGTGTGGGCGCCAGTTTAAGTCCCGGCTGCTCCACTTCCCTTCCTGCTCCCTGCTAACGTGTCTGGGAAAACAGCAGATGGCGGCCCAAGTCCTTGGTTCCATGTGGGAGACCTGGAAGAAGCTCCTGGCTCCTGGCTCCTGGCTTTGGACCGGCCCGGCCCTATCCGTTGTGGTCATTTAGGGAGTGAACCCATGGATGGAAGATCTCTCTCTCTCTCTCTCTCCAACCCCCCCACCCATATCTCTGCCTTTCAAATAAATAAATCTTAAAAAATACAACATATCAAAAATTATTGGAGTATGCTTAAAAGATAATTCATAGCATTAAAATGCTTATTTCGGGGCCAGCTCTGTGGCAAAGCAGGTAAAGCCGCCGCCTGCAGTGCCGGCATCCCATATGGGCGCTGGTTCTAGTCCCAGCTGCTCCATTTCCAATCCAGCTCTCTGCTGTGGCCTGGGAAAGCAGTAGAAGATGTCCCAGGTCCTTGGGCCCCTGCACCCACGTGGGAGACCCGGAAGAAGCTCCTGGCTCCTGGCTTTAGATCAGCGCAGCTCCAGCCATTGTAGCCAGTTGGGGAGTGAACCAGCGGATGGAAGACCTCTCTCTCTCTCTCTCTCTCCGCCTCTCCTCCTCTCTGGGTGTAACTCTGACTTTCAAATAAATAAATAAATCTTTAAAAAAAATTGGAAAATTGAAGCCAGCGGCATCTTTAAAAGACAATGCACCACAAACAAATGGGGTTTGTCCCACAAATGCAACACTGATTCCACAAACAATTAACTCCTCATATTAACAGACCACGAAATGAAAAATCACCCAAGTACTCCAAAGGATGAAGACATTTGCCTAAATTTTCAATCTCCATGAGTGATGAACACTTTCAACAAACTAGAAATAGAACAAAACTCTTGCAACCCGATGAAGGGCATTTAAAAGAAAAAAAAAAAAAACCTTACATGTTAGCAACACAACTGATGGAAAAAGACGGAAAGTTTTTCCTCAGAGGTTGAGAACAAAGCAAAATCGTCCTCTGTGACTACTCTTACTGGGAGCGTTAACCCAGACTGGGAGGAAGGCACAGAGCGCCGTCTCTCCACAGAGGACGCAGCTGTCTGCGTATCAAATCCCAATTAATCCACAGAAGAGCTGGAAGAACTGCGCTTGGCCAGGCTGCAACGTCAACAGACAAAAGTCAGCCTCACTGCCATACGCTGGTCATGCGTGGAGTTTTTAGAGAATGTTGAACTACTGTTGACAATTACACAAAAACACGTAAGTGTGAAACTAACAAAAACTAACCAAATACTTGCAAGCCATAAATCTGAAAAATAGTACGAGCGAGATGACAGAAATTAAAGAGAAGCTATGTAAATGAAGGCGCGCGCCACTCCCTGCACCAGGGGCCCCAAATCATGAGGATGTCAGTTCCCTCAGACTTGTCCCGAAATGCAACACCATCCCCAAAAAATGCACTGTGGTGCAGTGGGTAAAGCCACAGCCTGCAGCATCCCATACGGGTGCCGGTTCAAGTCCTGGCTGCTCCACTTCCAGTCCAGCTCCCTGCTAACGCACCTGGAAAAGCAGTACAAGAACCAAGTGCTTGAGCCCTGCACCCACATGGGAGACCCGGAAGAAGCTCCTGGCTCCTGGCTTCTGCCTGGCCCAGCCCTGGCCATTATGGCCGTTTGAGGAGTGAACCAGCGGATGGAAGATCTGTCTGTCTCACCCTCTCTCTCTGCATAAATCTTTCAAATAAATAAAATAAATTTTTTAAAAAGTCTATTTTGTAGCAAAATAATGTTGAAATCCAAGTATCATTTTTCTTCACATGCGTTTTCTGTGGACATCTTAGAGCCCTTGGGGACACACAGCCTTGCCCTTGACCACACAAAGGAGGCACCTGCAAAGCGAGCCCAGGTGCTGTCTGGAGGCAGGAGGCGACAGGTCCTCCAGGTCCCAGGGTCCCCGGGGGGTTTTCCTGCCCCAACTAGGACTCAACCCTTCTCCCTTCCTGGAGGAGGCGGGCCCCATACCCGCAAACCGCCCCCCCCCCCCCGGCCCTCTCTGCCTGCACTGAGGGACTGAGGGGGGCAGGACGCCCAGGGGGAGCCCCGGGCTACCTTCCCCATCTCGGGAAGCGGGTACTTGAGGATCATCTTCAACATGCGGGCTGCGGCATAGACCTCAGGGACGTGGGCGCTCGCCACGGTCTCCATGGCCACCAGGAACACATCTGCTCTCTCGTCGGGGCTCAGGTATTTCTTGAAGAACTAGAGAAAGAGCAGCAGCAGCTGGCCGCCACCTGCCCACACAGTGCCCACGTGGCACGGCCCCCCGCGTCTGCCTCCAGAGAGACTGGTCAGCCAGGCCCCTGGACGCAGGCCCCGGCCAGCGTCTGGTCATTGCGTGGGGTGAGGCGAAGCTCCTGACGCCAAGAGGCAGCAGCAGTCCGGACCCCCTGGCGGGGAGCGTGGTGCCGCGGCCTGGGGGGACGAGCCGGGAGGGAGCGCTCTGCCGGCGCCACAGAACGGGCAGGGCCCACGTCTCCCAGCCCACACCCCCGTGGCAAGCTGAGGCCAGCTCTAACCTGGCACTGGGCTGGCAGCTGGGGACAAGCATGGCTCCAGGGACCTCAGGGCAGGGCAGATAAAGAGGCAGTGGGCAGGGAGCAGGCGAGGGCTGGGGACAGGAGAGGCAGACTTGACAGCTTAGGGAAGGCCTCCTGAGACCCATTCCCCAGGGAAAGGGGAAGGGATGACAGAGGGAACAGAATGTGCAAAGGCCTGGAGTGCAGAGGATTTCGGTCTGGCTACTGCATCTTGAAGAGGAGACCGGGGCCAGGCGGAACAGGGAAACTGAGGCACGATTCGGCAGGTCCAATACAGCAGGGGCCATACCGTGAAGGGGCTATGGGCCAAATAAAGAAGTGTGGTTTGGGGGCTAGCGCTGCAGCGTAGCAGGTAAGCTGCTGCCTGTGACACCAGCATCCCCCATGGGCACCTGTTCAAGTCCCGGCTGCTCCTCTTCCGATCCAGCTCCCTGCTAATGGCCTGGGAAAGCAGCAGAAGACGGCCCAGGTGCTTAGGCCCCTGCACCCATGTGGGAGACCAGGAAGAAGCTCCTGGCTCCTGGGTTCAGCCTGGCCCAGCCCTGGCTCTTGCGGCCATCTGGGGAGTGAACCAGCAGATGGAAGACCTCTCTCTCTCTCTCTCTCTAACTCTGACTTTCAAATAAATAAATAAATCTTTAAAAAAATAACCCAAACTATGGATTTGGAACAAGGCTAGCGGCTGGCAGGAAGTCAGGACAAGCCTGAAGGGGAATAATGGGATGAGTCTGTGTCTTAGAAACAGTACCAGGACTGCGGCTTAGAAATGGTGTACGGGCGGGGGCGGGGACGGGGGCGGGGTGGGGGGACAGAGTGGACACAGGATGCTGCTAAGGAGGCGGCTGTGCAAAGGCCCCGGGCTCAAGTGGAAGGCGGATGGACCAGACCCGCCATCGCAGGGCTGGGGCAGAGTGGACAGGCCTGGGGTTGCACTGGAGAGGATGCAGGGGAGGAAAGCGCAGAGGGCACCTCCCGGGGTCCCGGCCTGGCGGGGCCAGCGCGCCTTTGCCGAGTGAGGCCCCAGGCACAATCCGCAGGAGCAGGAGAGGCTGAGCCGCTTCTCTTTAAAAACCCTCCGGGACCCAGCGCTCTGACGGCTCAAGTGCAGCTGGGGGAGGCCTTGAACTTGGGAGGCCCTTCCCCACGTGGGAGATGGCTCCTGCAGGGCCCTACCTGGACCCCTTGGCTCCCTCCCCGCCCTCTGCCTCCGGGGCCGGTGCTCCCCACGGAGGTGGCCGGGCCCGGTGCAAGCAAGGTTACCCAGGTGAGAGTCTGCATGCTGGCCAGCCACTCCCCGCGGAAGTGCTTCTGCAGGTCCTTCAGGGTGCCCTCGGTCTTCTGCTTCACGCCTGCGGTCCAAAACAGCAAGCAAGGGGTGGGGCACACCCCACCCCGGGTCCCCCGGAGCCTCCGAGGCCATCGGCAGAGCTTAACAGCAGGCACCGCACCTGCCCCACAGGATGGGAGAGGTGCCCAGCACCAGGCTGGCGCTGGAGGGAGCTAGGGGCCAGGAACCATCCGGTCCTCACACGGCTGGTGCTCTTGGATCCCCGCTCCCAACTCCGGGCACTGCGCAGACACCCTGGCTGGAGGCGCGGCTGTGGGATCCTGAGACTGCCCTGGGGGACGCCTGGGAACACGCTGGTGGCTCCGTGTGGGTGACAGTCTGCACCCTGGGGCTTTCCTGGGGCAGAGCAGGGCTAGCCTGGGGACTCCCAGATTCGCTCCCTGAGAAAGGACGCTAGGTTTCCCAGTCTTGCCCCGAGCGGGACGGAGGGCCAGCTGGCCAACACCGGGCATCCCAGCTGGCCCCAGGGGTGGCTGGAAACTGCGCGCCCCTCCTGTCCCAGAGAGTGCTGGGTTGGTGAGGTGGCTGGAGCTCGTCCCCTCGGCCCCGGGGCCCAGGCCTGCGGCCTCACGGCCTTGCTCCAGTGCCCCTGCAAGAGGCCACCGCCCGCGTCGCGTGCCTGTCCTAGGTGGGCGCTCGGAGGGGGCTTCTGTGCTCCTGTTCCCCGGCTCCCGCAGCCCTGCGGCATGGGCCTTCCGCGTCCGCATGCCTTACTTCTCTGCAGCACAAGGATCTTGAACAAGTAGTGCAAGGCCTCCGACGCCCCCATACTGATGTCATGGTTGTCGTGCAAGCAGAAGAGGCCCAAGATGCCCATCAGGGTCCCCGACATGGAGAACTCCGCCATGTGCTGCCAGGAGAGGGAACGGTGGCCTCACCACGGGGCCGGAGGCAGGGTCTCTCCCCACCCCGCCCCCACTCCTCCCCCCAGCCCCTTCACATCACTCTGGCCAAGAGAAACCTTCCTGGTCACACCCAGGGCAAGGGGGTCCCCGGTCCCCTACGCCTGCCAGCCAGCAGGGGCTCACAGGCCAAGGGCAGACCCGAGTCAAGCCCCTTACAGGAACAGCAAAGGCACCAATGCGAGGGGTGGGTGTGGGGTGGGGAGCGCTCTGAACACCCCCCCCCCGGGTGCCACTCCCAGGCTGCGTCAGGTGCCACACACAGAGGCCAGGCCTGGGGGCCAGCCCTCCCTGACCCCAAGCGCTCACCGACAGTTCGGGGAAATTGCAGATGAACCTCAGCAAGCGGGACATGGCGCCCAAGGCCCGGGTCTGCTCGTGTACTTTGTCTGACAGCGTCACCCAGGGCAAGAGGACCTGGAGGGGAGCGGACAGCCCGTCAGCACCCAAGGGAGCACGCGCCCTCCTTCCTTTTCCTGCTTCTGCGTCGCATCCCTGGTTGCCAAAAAGACAAGCAGGGGGGCGGGGGGGGTGTGGCTGCGGCAGGTGCATGAGCACAAGGCCCCCGACCTTGGCAAGGCAGGGCCACGTTTGGGAAGCCCCCAACATGTCACCTTCTGAGTCTTCCCACACCAGGGAGTGGGCGCCTGGCCTGAGGGTTAAGACCCCCACGTGCATATGGGGACGCACGGGTTCGATACCCAGCTCTGGCTTCTAATTCCAGCTTCCTGCAAACGCAGACCCTGGGGGGCAGCAGTGACGCCCACGTAGCTGAGCTCCTGTCACCCGCGGGTGGGGGAGAAAGACCCCAACCACGTCCCTGGCTCCCGGCTTCTGCCTCCCGTCTGGGGGAGTGACCGGTGGATGAGAGCTCTCTCTCTGTCTCTCGGCCTTTCAAATCAATCAATTAACCTAAACGCATAAATAAATAAAGACAGCACTGCACCTTTGAGAGAGGCCAGCGAGGATGAGGATGAGACGGGTGGAGACAGGTCCTCCCGGTAGGAGTCTGCACGAACCCCTGCCTACCAGGTCGAGGACAGGCGACAGGAAGTGACCGATTCCCGGTCCGTGACTTCTGGGGATCGCTGAGGACAGCGAGCGACACCACAGGGGCGTCCTCTGTACGCGAGAACACGCGGCCTCCCGACGATGGGGGAGACAGGTGCTGCTAGTGCTGAGCTACGTTGGCACCGCACGGGTGAAGGGGCCTGTGTCCCGAATCAGAGCTGCTGGATGGCACTACACTCTGCCATGCATCCATGTGCCAAAAAAAGAGAAAAGGAGCCATTACCACTGCCTGACTCCAACACGAAAATTAACTCAGGGGGCCGGCGCTGTGGCATAGCAGGTAAAGCTGCTGTCTGCAGTGCCGGCATCCCATATGGGCACCAGTTCGAGATCCGGCTGCTCCACTTCTGATCCAGCTCTCTGCTATGGCCTGGGAAAGCAGTGGAAAATGGCCCAAGTCCTTGGGCCCCTGCACCCACGTGGGAGACCTGGAAGAAACTCCTGGCTCCTGGCTTCGGATCAGAGCAGCTCCGGCTGTTGCAGCCATTTGGGGAGTGAACCAGCACATAGAAGACCTCTGTCTCTCTCTCTCTCTCTCTCTCTCTCTCTACCCCTGCTTCTCTGTAACTCTGTCTTTCAAATAAATAAATATATATTAAAAAAAAAAAAAGGCAGCCACGGCATGAGGGGAGCATCCGAAAATCTCAAATCTGATGAAAGACAAGGAACTCCCGAAAGACGAAAGTAAAGAAACAACGCAGCGGAAGAGCAGCAAAGACTGGGAGGGACGCGCCATCAAAGCAGGCATTCGGCGGCCGGCAGCCGTGGGAACCCCAGGTGACAGCGTTCACGTGTCCACGAGTGACAAAGACACCGCATGCGGGTGGGGACACAGCAGGGCTGGGGCAGCGGCCGCTTGGGCAAACAACGTGTGAAGTTGTCGTACAGACGTCAACACACGAGCGCCACCCCCCACCCACCCACGCACACACACCATGACAAAGTGCAGCCGCTTTGGAAACCTGAGTGAAGTTGTCCTACAGACGTCAACACACGAGCGCCACACGTGAGCGCCATCCCCCCACCCACACACCGTGACAAAGTGCAAAGGAACAAACAGTCTACACCCAGGAAGACGCGGCTGAAGCCTCGGCGAGTCTACCCTGAACAAAAGGGGACCGACTCGGGGGCTGCGTACCGCACGGGGGACCCCACGATGCTCACGGAAAAAGGAATTAAAAGAGCGTTTCCAGACCCACACCTGCTTTGAAGCGCCTCCATATAGCTAGTTCACTGAGTTTTTAGCAAAGGAAGAACTGCAGGGACAGAAAGCAGATGAGCCATTGTCAGGGCTGGAGAGGGGTTGACGGAGTCCCGGCGCGGTTGGGGTTGGGGTCCCCTGGCCCTGCCCCCGGTCAGCACCTGCACAAGCACACGCTGCCTCAACAGCACCTCCATTTAAAACCAGGGAGAGCGTCACAAACACCACCCACAGCTCTTAGGAGCGCTACAGAGCCCTGGAGTGCGTGTGCAGGACGACCTTGTTTCGGATCCTGCTGTGCAAAGTCAGATATGAAGTGAGGTTGCATAGTTAGGCTATCACATAATTTTGTAGGGAAAATTACACCTAAAACTACACCCCTGATATTAAAAACAAACAAACAAACAAAGTAGGCGGAATGGCATTCGGCCTGGTAGCTGCCAGACCTGCAGCCCGCAGTGCACCCCCCGGTTCCATCCACAGCTCCGACTCCTGACTCCAGCTTCCTGCTAGGGGGGATGCTGGGGGGTTGTTGGCTCAAGCTGTGGAGCCCTGCCACCCACATGGGAGACCCGGATGGGGTTCCTTGCTCTTGCGTTCAACCTGGCCCAGCCGCAGCTGTTGCGGCCATGTGGAAAGTGAACCGGTGGACAGATCTCTCCGTGTCTCTGTCCCTCCCTCTCTCTGTCGCTCTGCCTCTCTGATGAATACATCGTCAAGCAAACATACAAACTGGCAAACATAATCTAAATTTTGTGGCATACAAAAATAACTTATTTTAATAACTATCAAGGCGAATCTATGTCCTCACCGTTTCCTATGGAGGTGACCAGGATCCCGGGATGGAGCCTCTTCAGGGCTCCTCTCCAAGCAGCCCAGAGCTCAGCGTGTCCACTCCCCACCAGCTCCGAGGACCACAGAGCACTTCTGCTACGCTGCCCCCGAACCCCATCGCCAGCCGGGACGAATTCCCCTCCGGAGCCAGCCCCAGCCAAAGCCTTGCTGAGAGACGCAGGTGCCATCTCGCCTCCTTATCTGTAGCCACCCCAGCGCTGTGTGCAGTTGCATGACCCTCACTGGCCACCGTCCTGCTCATGACAGTCGGCTTCAAGTGACTCTGGACCCCCCCCCCCAGATAGACGTCACCGCGGGGAAGACAATTTGTCGTGAGCACTGTGAGGGTCTGCGAAAGTCCACGAAAGGGCGTAGTGTGAAAAAAATGATGCAAGGAGTTCAAAATTGCTTACACCCAAAGCCTATCTTTTAAAAATGGTTATTTATTTAAAAGGCAGAGGACAGAGAAGAGAGGGCTACTCCATCCGCTGCTTCACTCCCCAGATGCCTGCAACAGACAGAGCTGGGCCAGGCCAGGGCCAGGAGTCAGGGACGCAACCTGGGTCCCCCATGCAGATGACAGGGACCCCAGGGCTGGAGCCGTCACCTGCCGCCTCCCAGCGTGTGCACCGGCAGGAAGCTGGAGCCCAGAGCAGGGCTGGGGCTGGAACCTGGGCACCCTCATACAGGACGTGGGTCTCAGCTTATGTATTTTTTTCTTTTAATTTAAAATTTTTTTAATTTTTTAAAAAAATTAATTAATTTATGTGAAAGGCAGAGATAGAGAAAGTATGTGTGTCTTCCATCCACTGGTTCACTCCCCAAATGGCTTCAAGGGCCATGCCGAAACCAGGAGCCTGGAACTCCATCCGGGCCTCCCATGTGGGTGCAGGGGCCCAAGCACTTGGGCCATCCTCTGCTGCTTTCCCAGGCGCATCAGCAGGGAGCTGGATGGGAAGTGGAGCAGCCAGGACTCCAACAGGTGCTGGTGTGGGATGCCGGCATCTCAGGCGGGGGCTCACCCCGCTGCGCCGCAACGCCAGGCCCTCAAGCTATGTCTCAACGTCTGTGCCCCAAACCTGCGCCTGCTTCTGCTTTCATTCCATTCTCCCAGGAGCTTTTTGACGTCTGCTGGTATCTGAGACGCTCTGAGAGGAGTCAAGCCCGAGGGTCTCCCTTCAGGGACACGGTAGGGGCCCAGATGGGTGAGCTCCAAGCTCTTCACCCTTGAGCAGCCACAGATTCTGCAACAGGAGGAATCCTTGAGGAAGCTGGCAGTCCCCCTCCCTGGGGGGAAAACGCTACCACTGTTCAAGCCTCTACAAGCCAGAGCTCTGGACCCACGGCCGCGGCGCTCACAACACCATCGTCAGAACATGGGGAGGGGAGGGCAGAGGTGAGAAGGGCCCACAAGCCCTGCTGTGCGCACTGAGGCTCCGTGCACTCGCAGGTGGTCCCAAGGTGCCCCTCCTCCCTCCCAAGCAGACGAGCATCAGCGCGGGGTCCTGGGTCCCCTGGGTCACGCACCTCCAGGAAGTGCTGCAGGATACGCATGTCGGGGTTCAGGTCGTCCATCACCAGCGCGTGCAGCATGTCGTCCAGGGCCTGTACCGTCTGGCCAGCGGGAGACGGTGTGTGTCCAGGGGGGAGGGGCGGCTCCCTGGGGACCCTGCCCGCCTCTGCCCCCAGGCGTCCCCTGACTATCTCTGGCGAGCTCTGGGAGCAGCCGGGGGGGGGGGGGTCACCTGCAGGTAGAGACTTGCGCTGTCCTTGCGGTCCAGGCTGGGCATGATGAGCGGCAGAGAGAAGACACTGGCGACGCCTGCATTGACCAGGTCCAGCTTCTGGGACAGGTGGAATGGGGGGTTCACCTGGCTGGGGGAGAGGCGGGGAGTGACAAGGGGCTTGGGGGCCCCGGCAGGAGGTTGCGTCACTCAGGGCCAGGAGACAATCCCACACACTTCCCAGGGTGAGGGCGCTGGCTGCTGGGGAGGCTCCCCCACGTGGGTGGCCCAGCAGGTTTGTGCTAGTGACGCTTGGGGAGCGCCCTGAGCACCCCAGGATGCAGGCAGAGAAAGTGGCAACCCTGGGGGGGCACTGCCCCCACCCCCGCAGCCGGAAAATCAAGCCCTGGAGCCTGGCCCTCCGTCCCAACCCAAGTGCCCTCGGCATCGGGGGGGCCAGGGGCCCGCGGACCTCAGGGCCACGATGCACAGCATGGCCTGCTGGCGCACGTTGCTGTCCAGGACCTCAAAGGACTCTTCCAGGATCAGCATCTGGAAGAGGCCAGGAGAAGCCGGCAGTGCCCTGAAGAGCGAGGCTGCCGCCCCGCCCACGCGCCCCAGGGCTGACCACGCCGCCGGGGTCACCTTGACCTTCTTGGCCAGCACGTTCTTGGGGCAGTAGTCGTTCATGTTGCCGTCCGGCTGCGTGCGCACCACGCCGCTCAGGGTCTCCACGGCCCTGAGGAAGCTCAGCTTGGAGAACTCGCTCTAGGACACGAGACACGGGCTGCCTATGGGCTGGGACTCGGTGCCAGGGCAGGCTCCGGCCCCGCCCCGGCCCCGCCCCCAGGTCCCACCCCCACCCCATGCCTCTCCTGGCCCCGCCTCTGGCCGGCCCCTGAGGCTACCCCCACCCCTTGTCCACGGGAAGGGAGTGTGAGAGAGACCTGAGCCCCAGATGCCTGACTTGCGGAAGGCTCCCAAGCTGGGCCCTCACACCCTAGCAAGCTAGTTCCTGCCTCAGTTCTAGAAAGTTCTGGGTGATTTCCTTACCATCCGTTCTTGCTCTAGAAATTCCATAATCGACTCATAGGCATCTCGTTCTGATTGGCGCAGTCCTGGAAGGGGACAGGGTCAGAGGGAGTGGAGTGATTCTTGCCGCCCCCTCCACGGGCCCACTGTGGGCCTCCCCACGCCCAACACCAGCTTCTCCAGCCGGGGCGTGCCCAGCGCCCCCAGAGTGGACTCAGAGGCCAACAGGAAAGCAGCCACGTGGCGACATAGATAAGGGACGTTCTGCACGGTCGTGGCGAGGGAGGAAGGGGCACCTTGAAGTCCCTCGCAGTGGCCAGTTCCCGGGGCTGCCCTAGGCTCCCTTGTTAGCAGGGCTGGGAGAGCCCACAGGGCCTCCCTGGGCAGGGAGGGGACAAAGCAGGAGAACGGGGCTGGCGGCAGAACCTCTGCTCTTATCTGCATGCACCACCCCCCCCCCCAGGGGACAAGGAAGCCGCATGGGGTTTGAAGGCCACAGGCCCCTGGCTCTGGAGGTGGGTAGAGTGGCCTTCGCTTAGCAAGGTCACCCCAGCTGTTCAGTTAGGCACAGCTCAGGAGGCTGCGCCAGGAGTCCAGAGGGCTCACGCCAGGGGCGAGGGGGCAGCGAGGGGCAGACGCCTTGTCTGTGTTGTAGGTGGAATCAGCAGGCCACTGAGGGCTCAGGTGTAAGCAGGAGAGAACGATGGACGGCAGGAGTTTGGCCGGGGTCGTGTTGGGGTCACAGGCAGTCGGGCTCGAGAGCCTGGGGTACACAATGGCAGACCCCGCCTGCGGGCGGCGGTTCCGGGGACCAAGAGCTGGGAGCTCTCACTGCTTCTCAGACCACGGCCCGGTCCCAGTCCAGCTCGGGGCCCCCCGGGGAGGGGCCAGGCACGCTGGGACTCGGAGCTCACGCACGGGCCGGGCCCACAGCACCGCAGCTCACCGGTTAAGTCGGGCTCCGAAGAGACGTGAGGAGTGCAAGGCTCAAAGGTGACTCTCTGGGGACTTATCTCGCACCGGGCGGCAGCCTGCAGCGTGCCACAGGGGCAGGTGTGCGCCGGGGCTTCCCGGCCTTGCATCTTCTCCACACCAGGGGGCGCTGCAGGAGGCAGGCCCTGTCCTCTGTGAGAAGGGAATGGGCGGAGCCGGTCCCTGGGGGGGGCTCCCCTGGGAAGACGTGCCCACCCCCACCTGAGGGAAACCAGGCTCCCGGGCTGCCCGCCCACCCCTCTGCCTCTGGGAGTCTCCCCACCTTTTCCAGAGGCTTGCATCCCCCTCCCCCAAGTCTGCGCCTCCCAGACCCGGCCCGGGAGGAAGAGGCTGCACAGCGTGTTGCCTGCATGCTGGACCCCCCAAACAGGGGTGTGCCAGGGCTGGCTGTGCGGGGCCAGCTCCTGCTCCTCCTCCTAGCTGCTCCGCCCGCTCCCCTGCTGGGGCTTGGTCAAGGTCCCCCTGAGCCTCCCTGGCTCATCACAACAGTCTACATGCAAACCCCAGGCCCACTGCCCGCAATCCAGTTAGAGACCCTGGAGGGGGCCCACCTCCCAGCCCGCATCCCCACGGCCCCCAGGGCCAAGCGCCCGGGGCAGGGCTGGGGTCTCTCCCGCCACAGCCACCTGCCCTTTACACCTTCCACTTCACGGCTGCGGGGGACCAGCGGACAGGGCCCCTTTACCTAACTTGCTGGGCTCCTCAGACCCAGAGCACCGGTTTCTCCCGTGCACGCTGGCTCCAGGGGGCGCTGTGCTCCCAGCTGAGCGCCCCCTGCAGGGCAGGCCTGGAACTGCTCCGAGCTGGAGCCCCCACCCCACCCCCACCAGGCCAGTCCCTGGGTGCAGGGAGGGCTGTGGGCCCTGGTGCCAGCCCTGGAAGGAGACTTGAGGGAGCCCCTCTCCACCCCAAGGAAGATCCTCAGTTTTTTTTTTTTTTTTTAACAGAGGGAGAGAGGTCTTCCAGCCGCTGGTTCACTCCCCAGATGGCTGTATCGGCTGGGGCTGGGCCAGGAGCCAGGAGCTTCTTCCAGGTCTCCTGTTTTCCCAGGCCATCAGCAGAGCTGGACCGGAAGTGGAGCAGCTGGGACATGACCCATGTGGCATGCCCGTGTCGCAGGCCAGCGCAGCCTCTCCCCCCCCCCCCCCCCCCCCCGCTTTCAAGTCATAGGGGAGGGGCTGCTTCTCAGGAGGCCCTGCAGGTGCTCAGCCACACCCACCTCCAGCCACTGCCCACCCCCCTGTCCTGGGGGAGGTGCCTCCCGGGCCAGGAGACCCAAAGGGCCCTTGTCAGGGATGTGCTGGCTTCCATCCTACAGGGCAAGCAGAGTCTGAGGGCCTCCCTCCCGGACCCTACCAACCCCAGGGAGCTGTCCAGACCAGCCAGAGCCCGGGCAGCTTGGCCAGCTTGGGCGGGCAGGGGGTAGGCGTCCGGCAGGGTTCGGCACAGCCTCTGCTCGGGACACTGGGCACACACCAAAGAAACCCGTAGTCCTTGGCTCGGCCAATCACAAAGAACAGACTTTATTGAGCTGGGTGGCGCCAGACCCACAGTTCCAGCCAAAGGCCTGGCTGTGTGCAGTGGCTACGCAGGAGCCAGCAGCGATTTAAGGAGTGTCAGTCAGGTGTGCTCCTTCGAGGACCCGGGGGAGGCGCAGCTGGGCACTGGGGAAGGGGCTTAGAGGCAGACGGGTCAGTGTAATGGAAGGTAGAGCCGGCCCAAAGGCGGGGCTGGCTGCAGTGCGTCCCCTCGCCACCACTGCCCCCTCCCTGCCCGGGTCTCCCAGGAAGCCCCTGTGCAGTCGGCTCTGCTGCTTTGTCCAACAGAAGCACGGCTCTGCTGGGTCAGGCATGGGCGGCCCTGGCTATGCCACAGCTCTGCTACACTCGGGACCTGTTCCAGTGCAGGGGACGCGGGCACAGGAAGACCCAGAAGGCCACTCTCCCTCCCCTCCTGGCCTCAACAGGGCACTTCTGCACTGAAGCAGGACCCCCACCTGGGGAGCTGACCTGCAGCAAAGGGGGCCCTAGCATGAGAGCCCCAGGGACGGCAGCTCACAGGCGTGGCCTCGTCTCAGCAGCTGGCACCGTCACTCACGCCCCTGGAAAGGCCAGCCCGTCTCGGGCACGGGCACCCCCAGGGCACGGGCACCCCCAGGGCGTACACCGGGGCTTTCTCAGAGCACAAGTGTGGCTGGGCGGGGAGCAGGCGGCGCCGCCACCAGAAGCGTGTCCAGGAGGGGTGCCTTCCTCAAAGTGTCAAGTATCGCCTCCAGGGTGGTGATGAGGAGAGGCCGCGGGAGGCGGGAGGCTGCAAGCCCTCACTCAGCCTGGGCTGAGGGCCCACGGGGCCTAGAGAGGTGACTGGGGCTGGGGCCCCGAAGGGGGGCTTTACGGGAACAGGAAATGGCAGGGTCAGGGGACAGTGCTGACCTCTCCCCGGCACTGGGTGTGCATCATGGAGCACATTACAGAGGGAGGGCGGTCCCCCCCACCCCAGCCTACGGTCCCCAGAGACCGGGGAAACAGCAGAGTCAGGCAGAGTCAAGTGTGTGCAGGACGGTGGCCAGGGGCTGCTCTCCAGGGAGTCCTTGAACCGGGCGCACAGCAGCTGAGGGAGTCCCAGACCGGCCGACTCCGCGGGGCACATCCCTGCCACTCGTCTTGAATACGGAGACCGACGCTGTCCATCACACAGGCAAGGCCTGACGTTCCAGAGGCCAGAAAGGGGAGAGGGAGCCCAGTCCCATCACAGGGGTCTTGGGGACAGGCCACAAACAGGCAGACCCCCAGGGCAAGGCTGCTGAGAATACCGTGTAAAAAAAAAAAAGGAGAGGTCTCAGCTCCGGTCATCGGCCTGCGATGGGGGCGGGGAGCTGAGGAGGCACTGACAGGTGGGGTCCCGGCCCCGGCCCCAGGGGGTGCAGTCCTGCCCGGCTCGGCTCGGGCGCCCAGGGCTACACCTGGCTGATGAGCTCTCCGTTCTCAGGCAGGTACACTTGCATGGGGGCGCCCTCAGGCGATCTCCGGAGCACGCACACGGTGGGCACCTGCGAGGGTCAGAGAGAAAGGACAGGTGAGCTCTCTCCGCGCAGCCCCGCTCCCCAGGAGGCGCCACGGCTGTCTCCCACCCGGGTTCCTGCGGGTGTGACGGGCTCCCTGCGCCTCCTCCCCACCCTCCCCATCAGGCCTGGGCCAAGAGCGCGCCCAAGCTCGCAGGAAGGAGGCGTATGTCAGCTGGAGGGTGCGGCCTGGGACCAGGCCAGGTGCTGCCGGCCTGGGACGCCAGCTGCAGCCCAGAGAGCTGGGGGTGGGGGAGGGACACGCAGCTGGGCTGCTGGCAATCCGGGGTCTCAAAGGCGCAGCCTGTTGGGAACTCCTGGGGCACGTCCCCCGCGAGCAGGGCGAATAAAGGCGGGATTCATGTGTTATCTCCGGTCCAGGATGAAGAAACTGGATCCACAGAAACCAAGGCCGCCCTCCGCCCCACATCCGCGTGCTCTGTCCTATCTGCCACCCACCAGCCTGGCGCCCGGCCTGGGGCCTGGTGACGATCGTATCACTTATTAGTACCCACTACGCATGGCTCCAGTCACTTTAACTCCTAACAGCCCTATGCGATAGGCACTCGACTCCTCCTGCCTTACAGAGGGGCAGGTAGAGGTCTGCTGTCGGGTCACAGGGCTTGTGAGCAGCCTGGTGGCCCGGCCGAGGGCCTGAGCTCTTAGCTGCACCACCATCGGCTCAGCAGGGAGTGCAGGGACAGGCAGTGTCCAGGGCTGGCTCTGCCACCCCATTTCCAGACTGCTTCTGCCTGGGGCCCTGAGGCTAACTGGATGGGACTGGATGAGACTGGATCGTGCCTAGGCAGGGAAAAGGCTCAGCAGCCTACAAGGACCTGAGCCGCACACACATGTGACGTTAGGGGGTGCACAGGGAGGGCACCTGCCAAAGCCAAGAGGAAGTTACTTTGCGGCTTGTCGGCCCAGGGCGGCATCAGCTGACAGCAGGCTGTACCCTGGGCACAGCTAGAACCGCCCCCTGTCCCTGCACTACCCCCGCCCCCAGCGCAGCCATACCTGAGTCCGGGGCCCCAGAGCTCCTGCGAAGCCCTCTCTCCCGAGGGGCAGGCTCCTGACCCGGAAGGCCCCTTGGCGGTCCAGCGAGTGCGGCCGCGCGCTCCGGAGGCGCGCCCGCTCGTGCCACCATTTGAGCTCCTCTGAGACGGCGGCCTTGCTGAGCCCCCGGCCCGCGGGGCTGTCCTTCAGGGAGGGCGTCCGCACGATGCGGCCGTGGGCGGGCACCGGCCGCGGGTAGCGCAGGGGGGCGGCCTCGGCGTCGTAGGCGGCGCGGCGCAGCTCCCACTCTCCGGGCGGCGGATGGCCCTCGGCCACCATCACGTAGCGCCCGGCCGGGAGGTACCCGGCAGGCAGCAGCACCCTGGGGTAGTGGGCGGCCAGCTCCCTGCCGCTGGCCGGTCCCCAGGCCCCGCGGTGGCGAGGCAGCTCGGGCGGGGACAGGGGCCGCAGAAAGGAGATGTCGGGGCTGCTGCCGCCCGGCGAGGCGGGGTGGGAGACGCTGGAGACGTCGGAGCCGCTGTCTTCCGAGCAGGAGTGGCAGGCGGCGTGGGGCAGCGGGGGCTTGGCCGCGGGGAAGCAGGACTCTGGCACGGTCACGGTGTAGTGCGTGGGGCGGCGGCGCGGAAAGGCGCTGCGGCCCCGGCCCTCCGGCCCCGCCCGGAAGGAGTCCACCCTGGAGGGGAAAGCAAGACAAATAGCACTGCCTGCAGCGCCGCCGTCCTACATGGCCACCGGTTCGAGTCCTGGCTGCTCCAGCTCCCTGCTAATGCACCTGGGAAAGCAGCAGATGGCCCAAGTGCTTGGGCCCCTGCACCCTTGTGGGAGAACCAGAAGCAGCTCCTGGCTCCTGTGTTGCGGCCACTTGGGGAGTGAACCAGCAGGTGGAAGATCTCTCTGTGTCTCTACCTCTCTTCGTAACTCTTCCAAAGAAATACAATAAATCTTTCGAAAAAAGGTTCTTGGACAGTGAGGATTAGGGAAACACTGCACTGATTTTGATTTTTTTTTTTTCTGCACCAAATAAGCTTATCTTTTCATTCCATTTGTTTCTGGGGGCAGAAACACCACACCAGGAGGGGATGAGTTAACACGGGTGAGGCAGGCGGCCTAGCACCTGGTCAAAGCCAAGGCCAGACCTCCTCAGAGCAAATGCCTAATGTGCAGACGGCCGCCTTCCCTCTCTGTGTGCTTCACTCACAGTCTCAGCCCCCGAGGCACACCACGTGCAGTGGCATTTCACGGCCGGGGTTGGTGCCGGCAGACGCTCAGGGCATCTAACTTGAATGCACGCATGCTGGTGTGCGGTGCACAGGGCGGCAGCATGCGGCTGGGACCGGCCAGGGCTGCAGTCCACTCCTCACCCTGCTAACTCACACAGTGTGCATAAAGGCAGTACACACTGACACGGGTAGTACATAAACTGTTAGCATCCTGCTTCACTGGAGAACAGCTCTCCCAAGCTGCACCCAGTCTAGTGCTGCCCCTCAAACAGACTGACGATGTTCTGAGGGTGCCCCACGCCCACTGCTGCCAGCCATCACTCAGCCTCTCAAACTACTGCCCAGTAGCCGGTGACCTGGACAGGACCACACAGGTGATTCTCATCGTTCGCAGATCCAGTATTGGCAAATTTTCCTAGTTGCTAAAATTTACTTACCATTTCAAATCCATGTACACAGTGCACTCATGGTCATTTAAGGATATTGGCAGAACAGCCCAAAATAGGAGTTGATGGGGCCAGCACGGTGGAGCAGCGGGTAAAGCCGCCACCTGCAGTGCCAGCATCTCACATGGGCGCTGGTTCTAGTCCTGGCTGCTGCACTTCCTATCCAGCTCTCTGCTATGGCCTGGGAAAGCAGTGGAAGATGGCCCAGGTCTTTGGGTACCCTGCACCCATGTGGGGGACCTGGAAGAATCTCCAGGCTCCAAGCATTGGATTGGCCCAGCTCTGGCGAGTGAGTCAATTGAGGAAAAGCATTGCGATGCAGGAACCTACCCCATATTTCCCCTGGCCAATGGCTCAATATTTACAGCAACTTTACAGAAATAACTACTGCGGGGGCCGGCGCTGTGACCTAGCAGGTTAGGCCTCTGCCTGCCATGCCGGCACCCCAATGGGCGCCGGTTTGTGTCCCGGCTGCTCCATTTCCTATGCAGCTCCCTGTTAGCGTGCCTGGGAAAGCAGTGGAAGATGGTCCAAGTCCCAGGGCCCCTGCACCCGCGTGGGAGGCCTGGAGGAAGCTCCTGGCTCTGGCCCGACCCAGCCCCGACTCATGTGGTCATCTGGGGAGTGAAACAGCAGGGAAGATCTCTCTCTCTCTCCCCCCCCCCCAATTCTGCCTTTCAAATAGACAAATCTTTTTTAAAAAAAAAAAGAAAGAAAAGAAGGAACTCGGAACCACGAGGATCAACTGCACACCGGCTGCAGGAGTGATCCGCCCTTCGCCAGTGACCCGAACAAACCAGCACAAGCGGACGGGGCAAGGGGGGAGGGGAACTGGCCCCAAGCGACGCAAAAAGGCAGAGCCAGAGCCTGGACGGAAACGGCTTGTCCCATGGGGACTCCTCTTGGCACAGCCTCTTTTGCGACGCGACTAAGTCGACTTACGGACAAGCCGCAGCACCGGCGGCATGTCACTCAGGGTGTGTCCTGTAAGCCCTGGACGCCTGGCACCCCACCTCCCCGGGGTGCACCGTCCCTTACCTCAGGGACTGCGACTGGCCCCTCCGTCCCTGCATCTCGGGCGTGGCGGGGGCGCTGGTGCGGCCCTGGAGCTGGCCAGGAATGCTGCGGACCGGAAGCACGCGGTAGGTGGCCGGCTCCAGTAGCCACGTGCTGGGGACGCTGGGCCCGTCCTGCGGCGTGGTGGCAGGGCTGCTGCAAAGGGATCGGAGAGCAGTCGGTGGCAGGATGGCGGCACGGCGGCTCCACCGCCTGCCCCAGCACCCGGCCGCCCGGCCCCTGCCCGGCCACGGTGCTCCCCACGCTGACCTGGACTCGCTACTGGGCTCAGTGGACTTCCTGGGCCGCTCGTAGGGGTGGTCGAGGCTGGTCTCCTTCCAGGGACTGCTCTGGATGGGGGCCCGCTCCAGGCCCCCGGTCTCTGGTCCTGTCAGCTGCAGCCCCTCCAGGCTCTGGGGTGGCAGAGGCCGGGGAGCTGGGGCTGGGGATTCCGGGGGAGGTTTTGGCACTTGGGATTCCTCTGCAGGGTGGGGGGAGAGCGCTGCTGAGGGCTGGGGCTGGAGGAACCGGCTGGGCAACAACCTCCACAGCCGCCCTTGCTCTCCCTCCCCAGCTGGCTTGTCCAACTGCAACCAGGCCAGGCGCTAGCTCCAGACACTCAGGACCTGGTTTCTCCTCCTCCCCTCCCTCCCTCCCTCCCTCCCTCCCTCCCACAGCCCTGTTCTACACCGCCTCCTTCAAGAAGCCCCCCCCCCCCACCGGGGTTGACATCACTCCACTCCCAAAGCTCCGCTCCAGGTGCTGCGCCTGCCACCTGTTTACCTCTCTCCCTAGTCCCTGCCACACCCACGTTCCCACTTCCTTACTGGCCTGGGCGCTCCCCTGGGCAGGGCTGTGGCACTGACCCCGGCAGGCTCAGGGTTCGTAAACAGAGCTCTTGGTGTCTAGACTCGCGTCCCCGCCCTCAGTGGCGCCTTCTGTATCAAGGGCTCCTTGACCTGACCCTCTCACTGTGCGGGAAAGCCCCAAGGAGAGGCAGGGGTGCTTGGGGCTCTGCCAGATCGCGCCTCCCCTCCCCTGTAAAATGACCGGTCTTGAGGCCTGGCTCCAGCTGTGCCTCTCACCTTCCTCCAGAAGCAGCCCATCGGACAGGGAGCTGTCGTCGGAGGCACTGAGCTCTGCAAAGTCCAGGAGAGAGGGAGGTGAGATGAACCCATAGACACGCACGACCACAGTCCCGAGTGGCCCAGCCCCGACCCCTCCCCCAGCACAGCGCCCATACCTAGAAATACCCACTGTGTGCTAAATATACACCGGATTTGAACTTGTTACTTGGAAGTGGGAAAAAAATCAGAAATCAGGGGTGGGAGCAAGGAGCCGCGATTTTAACCCTGGCCATCGCCTGTGCATCGAGGGAGCAGCAAGAAGCCGTCTGTTCTGTCATCTTCCCACACTGCAAACACAACTCAGCCAGAGGCCCCCACAGCTGAGCACTCCTGGGTGTCCAGGAACACGAGAGCAGGTGGGAATCCGAGCGGCGGCCCTGCCAGGCAGGGTCTGGCCAGCCGGCCCCCGCGGAGGGTCCTCTGTGGGAGACGCAGTCCTGACGGACAGAGAGGGTGGTGTTTCCTGTCACCCAGGAAATCACAGGGAACTCATTTCGCCATCACCCTTGAGCAAAGGAACCTGCCGGGACCCGGATGGACTCACGCAATCTTGTACCCGGGTGTGAGAACCAAGGAGAGGAGAGGAAGACTCGCGTCTCTCCACGGTCTCAGGGCTCAGCTAAGCACTTCCTACATGGCATCCTCTCACCGCAGCGTGCCGGCTGCGGAAACCGTCGCACGGGTGAGTTCTCAGGGGTACGCCAACCGTCGAAAGGTGTGAGAGCCAGAATTCACCCCCGACAGCCTGACGGGGTCTGTGCTCTCAACACAGACCCGCCGGCCTGGGCTCTCCCGCTAGCCTCGGACACACAGGTCAGCACCGGGAAAGGCAGCGGCTCCGACCACGCTGGTGCCCTCACAGCAGGGGCTGGCGCACAAGAGCCGGGGGCGAGGGAGGCCCCTCCAGCCCCGTTTTATAAATAAAGCTTTATTGGAACACAGCCACGGTTTGGCGTTTGTTTTCGCAGTGCCTGGCTGCGTTAGCACTAACATGGCAGAGATAGATGCCTCGTGGCCCCCAGGCCTGCAGATCCGATATCTGAGCCCCGGAGAAAGGTTAGCGACCGTCTGTAGAGCGCCCTGGGCAAGGAGCCGTGTCTGACTGCAGAGTGACCGGCCCCGTGAGCTTCCCGTGGCCCCGGAACCTGACTGTGACACCCTCTGGGCGGGTCTCGCTTCCCCGCCTGGGATCTGTCACGGAAACCTGGAGAGTAATGGTTTTGACTTTTTTTTTTTTTTTTTTTTTTTTTGCGCCAGGCAGAGTTAGACAGTGAGAGTTAGAGAGAGAGAGAGAAAGAAAGATCTTCCTTCTGTTGGTTCACCCCCCAAATAGCCACTGCGGTCGGCGTGCTGCTCAGATCCAAAGCCAGGAGCCAGGTGCTTCCTTCTGGTCTCCCATGCGGGTGCAGGGCCCAAGCACTTGGGCCATCCTTCACTGCACTCCCGGGCCATAGCAGAGAGCTGGACTGGAAGAGGAGCAACCGGGACAGAATTTGGCGCCCCAACCGGGGCTAGAACCCGGGGTGCTGGCACCACAGGCGGAGGATTAGCCTAGTGAGCCGCGGTGCCGGCCAGGTTTTGGCTTTTCACAAACGTCAGGTTGAAGAAATGGAGGAACCGTTACCGTCATGGCCCAGTAACGTGTTTTGGTTTAAATAAATGACCAGGGAAGACAGGCATCACTCCCTGTCACCCCTAATTTTTATAAAACCCAGCAGATCAACAATGGAGGGGCCAGATAGTATGCTGCGGCGGGGGCAGGGGTTGGGAGAGGTGGGGGCTGTTCCCGGCGCCCACCCAGCACCTGCTCCACCATGCCCTGCCAGCAGCAGGAGGAGGCCTGAGGCCAGGGAGCCTGCTCTGTGCAGCCGCAGGGGTGGCCCTGCCAAACACGGTAGCCACCAGCCCCGTGTGCCTCCTTCCACAAAAATTAAATGAAATGTAGAATTCAGTTCCCAGGGGGCCAGCACTGTGGCGTAGAAGGTTAACCCACTGCCTGCAGCGCTGGCATCCCGTATGGGCACTGGTTCGACTCCTGGCTGCTCCACTTCGGAGCCAGCTCCCTGCTATTGTGCCTGGAAAGATGGTCCAAGTCCCTGGGCCCCTGCACCCACGTGGGAGACCCGGGACAAACTCCTGGCTCCTGACTGGCACAGACCGGGCTGTTGAGGCCTTTTGGGGAATGAACCAGAGGATGAAAGATTCTCTCTCTCGTCTCTCTCTAACTCTACCTTTCAAATAAATAAATAAATAAGTCTTAATAATAATAAAAGAATCCAGTTCTGGGGCAGGAATCGGGCTTAGCGGTCGAGAAGCCAGTTAACGTGCCTGCGTCCCATCTCAGTGGCGGAGTCCCACACAGGCTATGGCTCCTGACCCCAGCTTCCTGCTAACGCAGACCCTGGGAGCCAGTACTTGGGTCTCTGCCACCCACATGGGAGACCTGCACCGAGTTCCTGGCTTCTGGTTTCAGCCCTGTGTGTGGGCTACTGTGAGTATGTGGAGAGCGAACCAACGGATGAGAGCTCACTCGCTCACTCTCTCAAAATCAGTCGGCTCCTCAGTTGCACACGAGGCACGGGTCAAATGCTCACCAGCCGCACGCGGCGAGTGGCTACCACACTGGAAAGCACGGACACAGACTTTCCACCACTGCAGGAATCCTAGCAGAAAAGCTGGTGCCACCCATCCACAGGCTGGGAGCACCCGTTCTACTCCTGAGACAGGTGTGTGCTGGGCGGCGCCCCTCAGGCTCAGCACTGCCCCCTGCCACCTGCACAGTGCCAGTCACCTCCACCTGGCACAAGTCACCGCCCACACTGAGTGACTTTTTTTTTTTTTTTTTGACAGGCAGAGTTAGAGAGAAAGTTCTTCCTTTTAAGTTGGTTCACCCCCCAAGTGGCCGCCACGGCCGGCGTGCTGTGCAGATCCGAAGGCAGGAGCCAGGTGCTTCTCCTGGTCTCCCATGTGGGTGCAGGGCCCAAGCACTTGGGCCATCCTCCACTGCACTCCCTGGCCACAGCAGAGAGCTGGCCTGGAAGAGGGGCAACTGGGACAAAATCCGGCGCCCCGACCGGGACTAGAACCTGGTGTGCCGGCGCCGCAAGGCGGAGGATTAGCCTAGTGAGCCGCGGCGCTGGCCATACACTGAATAACTCTTGTGTGGAGGTGAGGGCAGGTAGTTTCCAGTTTGGGGCTTTTTAATTTTTGAGTTGCTTTGCTCTTTTTTATTCTCTCTCTCTCCCCTACCCCCGTTTAATTAAAACCAGCTTTCAGCTACACACTAATTATCAGTCCTCTCTACTTCCTCCTTTCTTAGAGAACACAGCTGGGCAAGAGGAGCCACAGATCAGGAGTCACTTGTCTGGAAAGGCCCCCACCTGCGCTCCCAAGGCAGGACGCTGGAACCCAGGACCTCGGCCCCCAGGACCGGAGCCGGGGAGGAAGGGACTCCAGGCCTGATCTGGGAGCCTGGCAGCCGCACCAGGGACTCCTCCCCACAGCTCTCTCCCCCTGGGCCCAGCGTCCCGACATGGTTGTAGAACCTCAGCGTTAAACCAGGGCCCTGGGCACGTCCAGGCCTGCGCCCACGTCATCCATCACGATGACGTCAGCAAACTGACACCCTGACGCCAGCCCCAGCACAGGCAGAAGGTGCCCTGCCCCCCGCAGCTGCAGCAGCACGGGGTGTGTGGGGGGGGCGCAGAGGAGGTGCGGAGCAGAGCCAGGCTGCAGGGGAACAGCCGGGCTCAGAGCAGCTGGGACGGGGCCACGCTGTACCACCCCGAAGGCGCTCTCGGAGCACACACAAGGCAGCCTCTGCGGATTTCCCAGGGATTATGGGTGAGCGTCAGAGCTGGGACTCCAGGCTGGGCCAGCCGCACAGCCTTTTGGATTTACTGAGTCTGCTGTCATTACTTGCAGGAACCTCCTCCCTTGTTGTCCACTCCTGCCTGCTGGGGGTGACCTGGGAGAGTCTGGCCCCACACTTTCCACCCTAGAGACCGCGGAGGACAGCAGGGACTCATGGGACACCTGCTCCAGCCGGGTCAGGGGCACCAGGACCCGACAGGCCTTCAGTGGGCTGCCGTGGTCCCAGCCAGGGACAGGAGCCTGTGTGTGGGGAGCTGCAGTCCCCAAGCCAAGCCCCAGGCCCCATCACAATTCCCCTGGATGCAGCTGGGGAGGCCATGGAGCAGCACGGGAGGCCTGGGGAGCAGGGCCGTGCCCTGGCTGCCACGATGGGGACCGGATGGAGCAATGGAAGGCGGCAAGTCCTGACCTGAGCAGCTGGATTTGGGTCAGGGAAAGGAAAAGCAGTCACACCTCAGAGCTCGAAGCACCTGCTAGAGCTAACCTGGGCGGAACCCACTGACACCAGCTGCTGGCCCCGGGCCTGAGCGACCACCGGGTCCCCACAGCCAGGGTCCCAGGGATGCAATGACAGGTGCACAAGGGCACAGCACAGACGTGGAGGGCGCCATATACTTAAGGGATTATGGGTGTGGCCCTGGAGGTGCTGGGTTGAGCCCTAAACGACCCACGAGTGGCCGTGGGGCCCTGCGCTGCCTAACCCAGGCCAGGGGAAAGGCCTCAACTCAGCCTGGGGCTCACACGGGCCCCACACTCCGCTGACCCAGACAAGCCAGGGGTCTGGAACATTCCAGCTGAGGCAGCCCTGGGACTGAGCTCCGGGCAGCCCGGGGAATGCTGTCTCGTAGGCCGTGAGTGTTCTGAAGATGCAGAATGGGGGTGTTTTCTGAGATGCGGGGAGGGCTTCCCAGGTGGGTAATGCTTGGCGGAGGGGTGGCAGAGAGGAAAGATGGGGTCCAAGCGGCCCCAGGAAGCAGGTTTCCCCACGGGGAGCAGCGGCGCACGCCGCAGACAGCCATGCGGCTCACCTGGGCCCGGCGCCGGCGGGGGCTCGCTGCTGCGCCTCCGCTCGCCCAGGCAGCGCTGCAGCTCCTGCAGCTTCCTCTCCTCCTGCAGCACCACCTGCTTCCGCTGCCGCCGGGCCTGGCGGCCCAGGTTCTCCTCCAGGCACAGGCGCCGCGCCGCCTCGGTGATCTGCAGCTGCAGGGCCAGCTGGCGCTCCAGGCTGCTCAGGGGGTCCTGGGGGGAGGGGTGCGTGTTGAGGGCTCCCGGGGGGGCCCAGGAAGACGGCCGGCCGTCCCAGACGTGGAAGCAGAGGGGGGAAGTGGTAAGGTTTGGCCCAGGGGCAGGGCGGTGGGGCCCCCGGGTGGGGACCCCACCAGGGCGACCTGCACACCCTGAAGGGGTGCCCCGGCCAGAACACCAGGAAGCTGGGCTTCGGGGCCCACCCTGCGGAGGCCAGGGAGGGGCAGGCCAGCCCAAGGTGGGGAACACCTTTCTCCTCCTGGCCCCAGGAGGGGCCCGGGGCGGCGGAGCCCCATGGGAAAGGGACCGCAAGGGGCCCGGAGCAACCCAAGTCTTCTGTCCTGGTTGGCTTGAAGAAGCGGCAACAGCCCTGGCGACCCAGGAAGAAGCCCTGGTCTGAAGCCGGCCCCGCCTCTCTGCCAAGGTCTTCCGCCCAAGGCCAAGCCAGGCTCCCAAAGGTGTCAGCCTCTCTCCCGTCCACGGTGACCACACGTGGGGCACCTGCAATGGGCGTGCAGGGCAGAGCCACAGTGACCAGGCAGGCGGGAAGACCGACGGCTACCGGGGCCACTCACCTCCCGGTGCAGGGCCCACTCGGCCAGTCTGTAGGCGGCGCCGACCCTGCGGCGCACCGTGGGGGCCTTCTCCCCTGGCTTCAGGGGGAACTCTGCAGGCAAGCTGCCCGTCAGCTCCTGGGGGTGGGAGGTGGGGGGAAGCGAAGTGAGCCCAGGCCCAGCCAGGCCCACCCAGCCCCACCCACCCCATTCCCATCTGGTCCCCAGCCCGCCTCTGACCACTTCCCCTAGAGCGCACGTGAACCCCACTGCCTGCCCCCCTCCCGTGCCCAGGTCAGGGCTCCTGTAGAGCACGCGGACCCCACTCACTGCCCACCCCCCCCCCCCAGCACTCAGGTCAGGTCCACCCCAGGGACCGGAGCACCAGAACCCGCCAGCCACCAGAACGCGCTCCTCACCGCCTCCCTCAGGCAAAGCCTCCTCAGCTCCTCCAGGCAGGCCTCCAGGCGTGCTTCCAGGGCCCTCTGCTGCTTGCGCACTGCCTGGGTCAGCTCCTTCATCGGGGAGACCGGGCTGTCAGGGCCTGGGGGAGGGGGCCGGGGCGCAGGCTCAGCAAGGAAGCAGAGATGGGAAGCCCCCTGGACGCAGCGGATCGCCCAGGCGCACCCCCAACGGCCCTGTACACAGCTTCCCCCCCGCCCACGTCGCAGCCCCAGAGCACCAGGCCTCCTGGGCCACCTCCTGGCTCCAGGGCAAGGGCTGACCCACCAGGCGACCTGCACACCTGAGGGTGCCCGGCCAGACACCTCCGCCTCGCCCTTCTCCCCTCCTCTCTCTGGTTCCTGCCTCTTGCAATCTCTGTCTTTGTCCTCTCTGTTTTTCTTTTTAAAAAGATTTATTTGAAAGGCAGAGTGAGTGAGCGAGCGAGCGAGGAGCGTCCATCTGCTGGTTCACTCCCCAGATGGCCACAACAGCCAGGCCTGGGCCAAGCTGAAGCCGGGAGCTCCACCCACACCTCCCGCAGGGATGGCAGGGGTCTAAGGACTTGGGCCATCTGCTGCTGCTTTCCCAGGCGCGCTAGCAGGGAGCTGGATCAGAGCGGAGCAGCCAGGACTGAAACAAGTGCTCCGATACGGAACGCCTGCGTCCCAGGCTGCAGCTTAACCTGCGGCATGACGGCCCCAGCCCCTGCCTTTCTCCGTCTCTTGTCTGTCTGTTTTCCTGTCGGCCTGTCTCTGACTTCTCTCTCACTCACTCACTCACACACCCTCGGTCTCCCTTGTCCTCGGGCAAGCCCAGGCCAGCAGGCTCGGGCCTTCCGAGTGACAGCCACGTGAGATGTTTCCCCTCCTTCAAAATCACTGGGACTCAAGTCCAGCACGGCAGATCCTCGTTCCAGATAGGATTCCAGAGCAGGCCCCTGGCGGGGGTGGGGGTGGGCTCCAGGGCAGGCCCTCCCCCCTGCACCTGCACCCTCTCCTTGAGAGACCCAGCGAGGGCAGCCCCGGACCCAGGGGGTCAGGAGCCAGGGCGACAGGGACTTCCCCGAACACTCACCAGACTGCAGGATGATGCCGCTGTCAGTGTCGCTGACCTCATCCTTACTCTCCATGGTGGGCTTCTGGGAGGAGGGGACACAGAGCAGGGAGGGGCGACACCGGTCCCAGCCTGGGCCAGGATGCGTAGGTAGCCTGGAGCTTCCCCAGCTGCGAGAGAAAAGAGTAACAAAGAAGCTGGGTTAACCTGCCTTGGTTGCTGGCAGAGCTTAGGAAAAGATGCAGGAGACCGGGCAGTGGAGGCCAGGACTGGGTTTCCAGAACCATCTGGGGTGGGCGTTCTCTCGGGCCAGAGGGGGCCGGGCCCCTGTAGCAAAGGGGGAGGAGCCGAGAGGGAAAGACGCCCTCAGCCTGACCACCAGAGGCCAGAGCCTTGCACTGCTGCTTGCTCCAGTGGGGTGGACACTTGCAGAAGTAGCTGGGTCCTGGGCACTCGGCCTGGGCCCCGTAGCTAGACCAGGGCATTCCTTAGCCGGCAGGTGCAGCTGCTCGCCGCAAGGAGGTGCCGCTCTGAGCCTCCACCTGTACCCAGGAGAACCCTCCGGGAGGAGTCGGCTGCCTGGCTGACACCTCACAGCCAGGGGAGATGGGGGGTGTCTGTCAGGGCAGCCAGGAGTCAGGGTGGAGGGCAGCGAGTGGAGCAGAAGCTGCCCCGGCCAGACAGGGGCCGCATCCAGCAGGCACAGGTGCAAGCCCAGGGGCGTGTCGGCCCTCCTGGGCACCAGGCACCTAAGCACCTCTGCCCACACCCCTGCTCGGGGTCCCGGCTGGCCAGGGCCTCGCAGCTGCTGGCTGCAGCGGGGCGTGGGGCCCGGCGGTCTGGAAGGCGAGCGCTCAGCCACCTCCTCACTGAGTCAGCCCATTGAGCAAGAGTCCAGAAGTCCTCGAGTTTCTGTCTGGAGCTTATCCTGCTTCCTCAGAGCACAGGGCTGTGGCAGGGGGAGGTGGCCCCAGCCCTCCTCCGGCAGCCGCCAGCACAGCCAGGTGGGCCCTGGGGAAGCGGACCCCGCACGGCGGCAGGGCCAACAAGGTGCACCTTGCACTGGGGAAATCAATTATCTGAGAAGGCTCGAGAATGCACAAAATTTTTTAAAAAAAGTTTACACGGCTTTCGTGATCACACACATTCTGGAAAGCCCCAGCCCTCAGGTCGACTGTTGGCCCAGCCTTCGTCCCTGCCCCAAGCGCACTCCCTCCCGCAGATAAGAACGGGACACAGGCAGGCAGCTCAGCCTCCTCCCCCCACTTCCCAGAAGCCAGGAGCAGGGCCCAGAGCAGGAAGGCAGAGGCTCAGCTGGCCCCTGGGCCCTTCTGCCCTGGACAAGGCAGGAGCTGGTGGGGCAGGACAAGCTGCTAATTAGTCACACTTGCTAATTAATTATTAACCACCAAGGAGCTGCCTCAAAAGCTGGGGCGCCCTGGCCACCGGCTTCCTAGAGAGTGGCCCAGAGGAGGGGGCGCCCCGGCCTGCGTCAGTCCCAGGCAGATGCCGGCCGCACTCCCGGGGACTCCCTGCTCTGAGGAGGGCAAAGGGCACAGGACTGGAAAGTCCAAGGCTCGGTCTGCTCCTGCCTGTTACCTGCGGGCACTCAGCTGGCCTCGCTGGGCCGCCTTCCTCACAGGCACAGGGGTCATCACAAAGCACCAAGGCCCCTCGGTCTGACCCCGGCCCTCTTGGAGGGGACCCTCATAGCCACAGAGCACCCCTGCTTCCTTGCTCCTGCCCGGCTGCCATCCAGCACTGGGGGTCCTGCTCCTGCGCCCACAGCCTGCGCCCTGCCCCCGACACAGCTCTTAGACAAAGGCATTCCAGGTGACATCCTGAGGGGGCTCCCTCCTGGCCCCCCTCGGTCACCTCCCTCCAGACCCTCAGCACTAAGCCACAGCCAGTCCCAGTCCAGGGCCCCACAGCGCTGAACGCCGCCGCAAAACCAGGCAGAGGGGGAAAGAAGGGGCAGAGAGGGAGGAGGGACCCCTCAGACTGGGGGCCCACGGTCAGCTCCTGGGCCTGTTGGTTCCAGCTCCTCTCTGTTGGAAACTGAAGAACCACAGGGACAGGCTCCCCGATCCAGCCCCCAGCATCCCTGTACCCCAGACCTGAGCTGGGGGGGAAGGGGCGGGGGCGGGCACGGCCACCACCTGGGTCCCCGTACCCCAGCCCCAAAGTCCGGCTCCAGCCGGCCCCACCCTCACCTGCTTCCGGTCTTTAGTCCAGGAGTTGGGGAACAGCCCTGGCTCCCAGGTCGGGGGCTGGGGGGCCTCGCGGGTCGCCTCGGGGGTCTGCCAGGCCCACCACCTTGCGCTCTCCCCGACCGGGCTCCTGCACAGCGCTCGCCCGCCGCCGCGGCGGCCCTCTGGCCGGCCCTCCCAGGCTGCCGGGCCAGGGGAGCCAGGTTACTTGTTACGACTTGAGTCAGAGGGAGGAGCAGGTGAGCAAGCCCTTCCCTGAACTAATCCCGCTCTGCAGTGCAGGGCCTCTGCACTTCCGGGCCAGGCCGGGGGCTCCCAGGGAGGCACCCCCGAGGCAGGCAGCAGTCTGCATGGTCTTGGGGGATCCTGGAGCAACCTCCTGGGGTGCCAGGGGCTCCCCGTGCCTGCCCGATGCCTCGGTTTCCCTTTCCAGAAATCCAGGTGTGTTAAGCTCCCAAAAGAAGAATGAAATGCTCATCGTTTGAAAGCTATCAAGGGCCAGGAGGGGCCTCACGCGCTGGGATGGAGACCAGGGCCCCAGCTTCTCCCTGAACCAGGACTGGGAAGCCCAGGCTGGAGTTCCACCTGTAGCGGCCCCAGGTCCTAGAGGGGAGGGGCCGAGCTGTCCTCTCTTTTTAGCCAGGCTTCTCCCCCAGGAACAATAAGGACCGCGGGGCACAGACCTGAACCCCAGTCCCGGCACCTACTTGGCAGGAGGGCCACCATGACTGCGCCCCCAACCCCAAGTCCACTCTCCAAATGCAAGGGGGCAGAGACCAAAACAGAACTGGTCCCCCCCCCCCCCACACACACACAAAGCCCCCAGGTCCCGCTCTCCCGAGAAGCCTCAAGCAAACTGGGGACTGTCTGGAATCCAGAATGTTGCACAAGAGAAGCGGAGCCAGGCTGACCGCGCCTGTCCCCATGGGCTGGAAGGAGCCAGGCTGACCGCGCCTGTCCCGTTGGGCTGGAAAGGTTCCGGCACCTCAACCTTGGACTGGCTCGCTCCCCTCCCCCACCCCAAGCACAGGGAGGAGGAAGTCCCTCTCTCCAAGCATCCCTGGACACAGAACCCCTCAGCACCTCCACATTCCTGCACACACCCTCTGTGCAAACAAGGCCAGCCCCACAGGCCTCCAGGCTGACCAAGTCCTCTCTCAGGGGCCCTAGCAGGGGACAACCCCCCCACCCTCCCCCACAGGCCAGTCCCACCCCCTGCAGGCTGAGCACTTTCTCCCAAAGTCAAACAGAGAGGCTGACCTGCACCTGACCAGCTCAGGTGGAGGCTGGTGGAAGTTTCTAGAACCAGATTTTTTTTAACGCATAAAATAAAATTATGGGGGTAGGTGTTTGGCACAGCAGTTAAGACAATGCCTGTATCCCACAGCAGCGTCTGGTGGTCCAGTTCCAGCTAGCACACCTGGGGAGGCAGCAGGCACTTGGCCCCTGTCTCTCCTGTGGGAGACGCGGATAGAGCTCCGGACTCCTAGCTGAAGCCTGGCCCAGCCGTGGTTGTTGCGGGCATTTTGGGGGAAAGAATCAGCGAATGGAAGATCTCTCTCTCTCTCCCTCTCTGCCTTTCCAAGAAATAACAGAGTAAGTACCGATTTAAAAAATAAAATGATGAGAGTAAGTAGATCAATGGTATTGGAATACAGTTCTAACAGAGAAAAGGCACAGGAACTGGTAACACGAAGCAGGACCTCGCAGTGGGTGGCTTCACACCAGCAACAGCGTGTAAATGCCAACACTTGGGATGAGCTGCGACCTGGCAGTCACAGGTACTACTTGTGGAAGTCAAGATGCTAAGTTTGCGCCAGGCTGGTGAGAAATCAACATGGTCCCCCGTCTAAGTCTGCACACCTCAGAACTGCATCCGCAGACGCCAACCAGTCAGTCCCCCATCATCGGGGAACAGGGGACCAACCCGCGCGCGCACCGGGGGCCCCGAATCCCCGGCCTGCACTCCCAGCCCCGCACAACCTGAGGCGCGCGCGAGGGGGCTGGCGAGCCGAGCCTCCCGCCAAGAACGCCCCACTGGGTCCAGCCCACGGCCCCGGTACGCCAAGGCCAGCGTGGACTCTCAGAGTCAGCGTCCACTCGGGCCAGTCCCGGCACTCGGGCGCCGCCCCCACCGGCAGGTGAGAAGCGGGGTCCTTGGAGTCCCGGCTCCGCGCACGAGCGCTGCCCCCGCCCCGCCGTCCGGCTTTCGCCTAGAGCCAAGGAGCGACCCCCGGGGGGCTCCCGCGTCCGTCCTCCGGGCTCCGAACCACCGCACTAAGAGTTCCCGACCACGAGGGTCTCGGCCCGCAGCCCGTCGCCCCGGCAGCGCCCAGCGAGGGCGGCCTCGAGCATTCCCCAAACTTGAGGCAATGAATTAGCAACGCACGGGCGGCCGCTGAGGAAGAGGGGCAGACGGCCCGGGACCCTCCCAGGCACCGTCTCCTTCCGCGACCCCCTCCCCGCCCGCCGGGAACCGTGTCCGCTTCCCCCGCGGACCCCGGGCTTCTCGGAGGGCGCCTTTGTCCGGCCCGGCCCGCTCCCCTCCCCCACCGCGCCCTCCGCTTCCAGGCCGGCCGGGACCCGACTCCTTTTGTCTGGCTGCGTCCTGGCCTGGGGAACCTGCCCGGGACAGCCCAGGCGCGGGGAAGGTGGCCGGCGCAGGGCGCAGAGGCGGGAGCGGGCGACCTGGGTTAGGAACTCGGGATGGCCACCCCCAGCATGGATCGCCCCGCTCGTCCGGCGATCGCGGGGCCCCCAGCGTGTCCCCCCTTACCTGTCCCGGGCAGCTCCGGCGCCGGACGCCCGCCCCCGCGCCCCCCGCGCGCGCCTCGCGGCCTCGGGACCTGCAGGTCGGGGCCGCCTCCCCGCCGCCCGGGCCTCCCCCCGGCCCGCCCTCCCCGGAGGTATTTCATTTAACTTCGGCATTTGCAGCATCCCAAATGTTAAAGATCCCGAGACATCTGTCCCCTGGGGCATACCAAGGCCCCCGGCACGGAGGGGACGAAGCCAGCGGGGCCTCGGGCTCCGCGCCCGCGAACCGGAGAGCGGCGGCGCGTCTGGGCGCCCGGGGGCCGGCCGGGGGCCAGTCCCGCAGGGGCGACCGCTCACGAGTCGAGGCCGCCCCCTCCTCCCGCGCGCGGGCGCGCGCCGCACGGGACACCCCCGGCACTGGCAGTTTCCGCGGCCCGGGCGGGAGGAGGCTCCCCCGTCGGTCCGAGGCCGCCTTTCATCCGCGCGCTCCGGCCGGGCTGGGGGCACTCTTCATTCCGAGAGACCGCGGAGGGGGGGCGGATGAAAGGCGGCCGCGGCGCCGCCTCCCCTCCCCCCTCCGCGCCCCCCGCCCTGGCTGCGCCCCGGGGCGCGCGCGTCCAGCCGGGGGCCGGCCTCCCCTCCCGCGGCCCGGCTCAGTCCCGGGCGGGGGGCGCGCGCGGGCCAAGGCGCCCCCTGCGCCACGAGCGCCCCCCTCCGGCTCGCTGCGGGCCGCGGCGGCCCATCCCTCCCTCCGTTCATTCATTCACTCGCTCGCTCGCACTTCCCGGCTTTCATTGGTTCAACAAATGGATCCGAGTTGAAACCCCGTGGCTGGGGACCTCCCCCCACCCGCCCGCTTTTAGCCAGCCACGGAGAGGGAAGGGCCAGGAGCGGGGAGGCCGGCCCAGCCTGAGCGGGCCCCAGCCTGGCCCCGGGGACTCAGGACAGCAGTGAGCGGGGGTGCGAACGCGTGGTGGCAAATCCGTGCGCGGGAAAGTGGAGAAGACACGAGGCCGAGCGGGAGGCGGGGCCGGCTGTCGGGGCCGTGCACGCACCGAGCCTGGTGGGCTGCCGATGTTTGTCTTGAAGTTGAAGAGGCAGGGAAAGCAACAGGAGGTGTGTGGGTAGTGGGAAGTGGGGGCGGGGGCAGGATCTGTGTTAAGGAGCTGCCTCCGTGGCCAGCCCAGAATCTGCAGGGTAAGCCGGGGGCCCGGGCCCTAGACAGGCCAGCGGGTGGAAGCCTCCTTGCTTTCAGGTCAGGGCCTTGGACCCACGGGGTGAGGCCTACTCCCTACCTGTCTGCTTTCCTCCAAGCCCCCGATGTAGGCGTTAATCATCCACAGAAACGTCTAGAATAACGTTTGACCACATTACCTGGACCTCGTGGCTTAGCTAAGTGGACACGACCGAAGAACAGCGACGCAGGAGGCAGCCCAGGCAGGCTCACCTGCGGCAGGTGGCTTTGGTGGCCAAGTGGCGCGGTACCTGGCCCAGGACCTGGGCAGGGACAGCCAGGGAGGAGCTGGGGGCTCCCAGGTGTCCAGCTTCACAGTGCAGGGTGAGGACGTTGATGGCAGTGGCCAGTGAGCAGGAAGGCTGCAGGGAAGGGCCAGGGAGCCCCTCTGAGGAAGACACCCAGGGCAGGGACAGGGCCATCGTTGTAATTGCTCCTGGATGCAGTGAGTTGCTGAGTGATCTGCGTCCCCACGCCCCCTCCCCCCACTCACACTCATCCCTTCTTTTCCCTGCAGTATGGGGGGGGGGCTGGACCTGGTCTGTCCCCACAGGTCCCTGCCCTGTGCAATGGGACCTCAGTGGTGGGGCCTTTGAAGAGAGAATTAGGTTCTGGCCCCAACGGCAGGCTACCTCCTGGAGTGAGCGGAGTCCCCTCTGGCCCTGGGCCCCACCCTGGGACACGCCGTCTGCCATGTTGTAATGCAGCCAGGGGACCCTCGCCAGAATCCGGAGCCAAATACTCCATCAGTTGCCCAGCATCAGGTGCTGAAGCAGCCGCTGAGCCGACGCCAGGTGTGCTGACAAGGTGACGTTGGCTGGCAGTGGGAGAGAAAGGTTGGGTGCCCTCAGGACGTGAGCTGACCTCAGCAAGGTGGGAGCTGGGTCCCGCAGATGCCTGCACCCCACTGTCTAGGCAGCCGGAGCCCCTGCCTCCCGGGCTCCCCCTGAGCCAGCGGGGTTCCGTATAAGGAAATGGAATTTCGTTCTGCCTTCCCGGCAAGTCGGGGCCTGGAATAAAAATCAAATGGATTTATAAGCAATAAAGTGATTAATGTGTGTGAATGTGTCTCCCAAAGATCATGTGTTGGGAACTCGGTCTGTTAGCTGTCTTGGGCGGTAACGGGGCGTACTAAGGACTGGAGGGTGGGGCTGCAGGGCTTCCTGGGAGGAAGAAGAGAGCGACCCAGGCCGGCGCCCTCTGCGTCCTGGTCCCCCGGGCCCTCCCAGCTCCTGGACGCCCCACCTCCGGAGCTCGGTCTCAGGTGTTCTGGTGCAGCAGAAAGTGGGCTGAGAGCCTGACTCGCCCTGGGTCTGCAGGTCCAGGCCGGCATGTGTAGCCAGCCCGTGGTCCTCGTTTGCAGATGAGAAAACCGGGTGAGCGACGTGAAGCCGAAACCAGGAAGGGACTGGCGTGGGCTCTGAAGGTGGGTGTCTCTCATTCCATCGCCCTGCAGGTGGCAAAGGGGCCTGGGGCCAGGCAGACACAGCGGGGGGATGGAGCGTGGCAAGTGTAAGGGTTCTGGCGCTCATCCCTGGGGTTTGCGGCTCCTAGGTACTTGGCCGGCCTGGGCATGTGTGCACACGGGCGGGGTTGTGGGGACAAATTAGAAAGTGCAGGCTCTGTCTTCAAGGGGCCAGACAGGGCTTCTGTGCTCAAAACAAAAGGGAGACATCCAGACTTTTACAAAAAGTCTAACTGGGGCTCAGCCTGTGGAGGCTGCAAAGCCCCCGGGGGCTCCTCCCCTTCCCTGGCAGGCCGGGCGCCCCTCCCTCAGGTGTCTCTGTGGGCCGTGAAGGAGCTGCCCAGAAGTGCTTGCTGGCTGGGGAAGAGAGCAGGCAGGCTCTCTGTGGCTGCTGTGCTGTGGTAGGGGGCGCCAGCCTGCCTGCCCCCCTGGGCTGTCCTCCACGCACATGCTGGGGGGGGGGGCTCCACTTGCTGCCTGCTCTGCCCTCCCCTCTCCTGGCCCCAGGACCCAGGGAAGGAGAGGGAGGTTGTGCTTAGCCACCCGGACAGCAGCCGGAAGTTCTCGGGAAACTCCAGGGTGACTGAGCCCAGGGCCTGGCTTCCTCTCCTGACAGCGTCCAGCAGCTCACGGCACGGCTGGGCGGATGCAGGAGGGGCACCTCCTGGCAGCCTCTGGGTACCAGAACCCCCTGGATGCCCCG